AGCGAAGAGATTGCAGGAGCAAAGGGAATGGATGCGATCCTATGAACAGCTGAAGGCTTGGGAGGAGATCCTGATTAGCTCCGATGATGAAGAAGCACTGTTGAAACAGTTTGCAGTGTCAAATACGTCTGGGTCTAGTACCTCGAGGGCGAAGAACGCGAGCTGAGCAGGTGGCTCAAAGGGCAATTCTAGAGTCTTGAGTCTTGAGAGGGAAGGGGGCTCGAGGGTGAACTTGGATGAAATCTAGGTTCACGAAAAAGAAATTTTATCAAAAATGAGATATTGTTATTAATATGTTATATCTAAGATATAAATCAAAATGCTGCATGACAATTTCCTGATTGAATAGGACAAAAGAAATTTTAAATTACTAACTTAAAAAGCGAAAATTCACAGGTGCAGGTGTGTGCAGATTTTGATTGCTGTATAGCGATAATGTGAAAATTTTCTATGGTCGTGAATTTTGGGGTGTAGATAAACTTAAGTCTGCTGCAAAATTCTGTAAAAGACCACTGGCACTGTATCTTGAGTACTCGGGTTTCTGGGGATTCACTGACAGACGGCAGCACGCGATGAGGACATCGATCTTGAGTCCGGGGAAAATGTGCCAGTCGGTCATAACTGGAAGTTTGACCTTAAGGAACGCAAAAATACGTGGTTTTCGAATGAAGTTTTATTTTTCAAAAATTCGAATGGAGTCTGTCATGCTCAGTTTTCTCCCGACAACTGAAAACAAAAAAATACAAAATCAAAACGACCGAATTTACAATTGCGGGAAAGTGACAGAAAAACAGCGGGAAGTTGCTATCCGCAATTTACAAGATAATAATAAAGACCACGAGAGTAGAGCTGTCCTATCTTGATATAGGAGACAGTGATTACAAAAGAAGATCAGAATCTAGCTGAACCAATATGAACCTTCGGTGGAAAGGTGGACAACCGAAGTGTCCCAATGGTCCAGAACCAAAACTCCATTCTTGAGATAAAACTTGTTCGATTAGAACTTATTGAATCAAACTTTATTCCCCGATCATTCTCAAGTTGCTTACTAATTTTGTAACCTCTAATTCTCGAGTGTGCTGCTATGTAAGTAGCTAATTTATTTTCTCGAATGTGTTTTATGATTGTTATGTTGAGGTAAGGCGAGTTTTAGGTTGATCCATCTGAAATGGATCAAAGTTCCACTGTCTAACAAAAAGTAACTTAACTTAACTTCCGACCCTGTTTTTAACGGCGTTCGTGTATTTTGGGTATCTCGAGACCTAAGTATGGGGACGTTCTTTTTTCTAGAGTGGGGGATATTTTGGTAGTGGCCTTTAAGCAGTAACGGGTTCTAGTCTCATGTCGCAAGTGAACCGAATTGGCTCCGACCGTTTTGAGGTAGAAAAACACAAAAGATAGTGTCCCTGACTCTTGAGCCAATGGTTATAGGGCCTATTTTTCTTAAGCCTCATATGTGACCGAAGTAGGCGACTGTTACAAATGACTATGTTACTGTTAGTGAATCGAGACGGGGTAACAGATCCAGTCAGAGAATGGTTTTTTCTGTACCTCTTGCCCGCACATTTTGTTCCCTTGGGAGCTTTTTCCAAAGAACAATTCATAGCGTCAATAGTGTTTTAGCAAAAGTCGACATCAACTCTACAACTACAGTCTCATAAACCAAGACTCTACTCTTCAATTTCCTTAAACAGCAACTTCAATCAACCTTCAATCTCGACAATCCATGCACTTTTTTCATCAAATGCCGTTGCAACACATGTCGTTCCTGGACACTAACAATTTAACACGAAGCTTGAATTACGCAAACTCAAAATTTCACTTTTATATGTAGTATCATTCACTAATAAATATTCTCTATGCACGACAGGTTGTGGCGCAGATGTACAGGCTGCCTCAGCTATATTGGGTTGGCACATTTTTCCGTGTCTTGCCCATGTTATTAATTTGGTTGTTTAGAAATTTGTTTCGTCTTGTGATCTTGCTGAGGAAGAAACTGAAAGTGAAGAAGACGAGGAGGAGTTGATGCGCATAATGGGTTGTCATATCGAAAGTGAAGATTTATGTTAGAGAAATATTTTCGTCTTCGACCATGCAAGAGAAATTACAAGACCTGCTAGTAAGTGTGAAGTTAGAGCCGGTGAATATTGTTAAAGAGAACTGCACTAGATTGAATTTTTTGCTGCAATTGCTTGTACGATTTGAAATTTTTTTATTTGAGAGCCGCCTGAGTCGGATAGACCGAAAATCTTTTATTTCAGAGCTGGGCTGATAAAAGTTTGTAGTCAATTCCAATTCCTGTTCTCGGAATTGAAGCATCTCCGATTCCAATTCCTAGTCAGATTTCTCGATTCCAATTCCGAAAAAAAATCAAGGAATTTGATTTGCCTGCCTCATTGTGCTCATTTTCGGCAATGACAGTTTAGAAATTGCCAGGAAAAACTTAAATTTATCCTAAATTGCGTACTACTATAGCAACTGGTGCCATAACAAAGTTTGTTATTTTGAAGGTTTTTACTCAATAAGAGATCAAGATCTCGATTGTGTGTGTTTTTTTGTATACCGCCCACAAAAGTGCGGAGAGAAAGACATGAAATGACATTCGTTTCGAACAAACAATAAAAAGCCCCGAGACAGAACTGCCCGCCGCAATTATTCTAATTTTTTCTAAAGTTTACTATGCTGAATACATACATTGATGACTGTTATTACTGTGAAATTATTTCGCTCGGAGATTTATTTATTTTTAGGTGCCCTCTAGTTGATTTTGGTCCCGGAGCCTTTGGAGAAGTTCGGTAAAGACTTCTCTTAACCCTCCGACCCCGTAATTTTCCGTCTTAACCAGATAAAAAGCCAATTCAACTAGTCTTGGGAACTTAACCTTCCAGCTAGTTCAAAACAGGAGGAAAAAGCCTCTAAATAGGGCATACGCTCGGAGCGGAGGGTTCGTCACTAAAACGTTTGCTGATCAAGATTGTCTTTTGCCTTTTACAGGCCCAGCCAAAAGCCTCAGAAAAACGTCTGTACTAGTCTCAAACCTCTTGGCAATCTAACCCAGTTTCCTGTGGCAATTTAAGTGTTCATTATTACAACTTATATCTAATATTGTTAGTCCAATTACAAAAAGAAAACAGTTTATTCATCAGTTTGAAAACGATGTTAACTTTCTAGCATCTTCATTTGTTCGTACTTTTCTTTCTTATTGCTGAAGACCGTCTCAATGTGCTTTTGCGTTGTATCTGTTTATCGGCGTTTTCGTTTCCGTTTTTCTCATTGTCTGAGTCTGCGAAAAAGCTGCTTGACAAGTGATCGTTTTTCTGGAAAGTGTTGATTGCAAGCAATGAACTGTCGAGCTCATCATCTGCAGGTTGAACCTCAATGGTCACTTCTTCTTTCCCGTGGAGACTTATGTTTTCAAAATCCGATGAACTAGATGTAACGGTACTCTGACTTTCTTTTTGTGACTGAATTTGTTTTTCAGGCTCTGAGTTATAAGTATCAGATTCAGTTTCGATTTCTTGATCGTCTTCCTCCGAGCTATGCGAATAAAATTCACTAGAATTCCTGTCTTCTACTACCCTAGAAGTCAACTCTGCCGAAGTTGTTTGCATTACGACAGTTGATGTATCTGATTCAGACATAGTGTGGGAGTTCTTTTTAAAAGACGTTTCAATTGGTCGTAATTGCTCCACAGTATCTATCAGATTGTCCAAACGAAGTTTCGATTCGTGACCTGCTTTGAGGTTATCAAACACTTCGTCGTTATTTGACTCAGCATCTGAACAATCAGACTTGAGCTCTTCAGCTTCATTTACCGAATTTGATGATGACTGGCGACTGGACGTACTCTGTGAATTTTTACTAGAAGTTATCGATGATTGTCTGCTGCATGAATTCCTGTCAGGTGATCTGTCCAATTTTCGTTTAATAATACTGTTTTCCTTCTCAGAGGGTGAAGTTTCGCTGTCGTCGTTACTTGAACTTATTGATTTCACATCATTTTTGTCGGGAAAGAGTGTTGCTTGGTGTTTATCTCCCTTGAAGCTCGTTACAATGGTGGGTCGTTCTGCAGTTTTCATCTTCCACTCGTTAGCCTTTTGGTTGGCATAGTCGATTTCAAGATCGCCTATTTCTGGCGATAAAAGATGTCCGTCGTTTAATTTGCGTCGCCTGACGTTGGTCTTCGACTTGAAGCGTAGTTTTTTGAGTTTTTGAACCGCGAGAACTGGAGTTCGCTTTCTTTTCTTTGATGATCTTGAAGTCGTTTTCTTCCGAAGCATTTCTTTTTTCTTGTTCTCAAAAAAAACTTCTTCTCTTTGGTAGCGTATCAGTTTGCGTTTCAACTGTGCATTCTGGTAACTTTTTGCTGCCAACTTCTTCAATATCACATTCTTGTCTTTCTTCAGTTTATCGATTTCTTTATTTCGCGCTTCCAAAACTCCTTCAACTTCTTGTCGATCTTTCTGCAGTTGAGCTTGAAGAGCAGCAAGTACGTTTTTTGAGTACTCGATGAACTTGTGATATTTGGCTTTCTGCTGCATCAGTTGGCCTTCTAAACTCACTATAGCTTCGCCTGAGCTATCTCTGCTGTGGGATATCTTTAGCGCCGAGGAGCAGCTGCTTGGAGTGCTCATTGTGGCCGAGTGATCAGTAACTATAAAAGATTATAATAGTTTGAAAAAGAGTGATTTTTTAATTCATAAGCGTGCAGTAGTAATTATTTTCTGATTCATTGAAGTTAATTGCCAGTACAATAAAAAGTCTGCTGGTCATTGTAAGTTTTTTTTTGATGTTATCATAAATGAAAACGCACGGGCCGTTGAACACCTGTTATAACGAAACATTGAATTGAAACTCGAAGATTTAACTATGTTCAACGTCTTAGAAGAAAGTTTGAAGTCGTTTGAAGAAATTATCAGCATATTAAAAAAAACAAAGTTAGTCTATTATGGACTGTTTTTTTAATCTCATTATTTGTATAAAGGTTGTTTTTCAGGAAAATGTTCTTTGCAGCCTATTGTATATACGAGAAATACTACAATGAAAAACTATTAAAAGAAAGACGCAATTTTTTCAAGGAGCGATACATAGAACGCTCTCGGCTGACTTTTTCCGATTTGCCTCAGAGAGACTTCACGGGTAAAATCAGCCACTTGACCGATGACTTCGGAATATTTGAAAACTTCATCTATTTCGACAGAAACAGTGCTTCGCGATCAACGGATATCCAAGTTGGAACTAAGGTTGTTGTCACGGCGTACTGCGATGACTTTTTCGAAAATTACCAATTTGTTAGGATGAGAGTAGTAAAGGAAGATGAGGAGGTAACTATGAGTACTACTGTGTTTATAACGTGCATTGATCATTACGAAGACAGAGGGCAGAATATCAGATTAACTAATGGACAGTTGGTAGAAACGCGTAATGTTGATCAAACTCACAGCTTGATGCCAGGTGACTGGGTTAGGGTGACGTCTAGTGGAAAGTCAGATGAGTTTACGAAAAATCAGAAGGTTGAATACCTGGAGGCTTTGCGTCTAATCGAATGTGAGTCGATTGTTTCAGAAACCCAAAGACGAGGATTTTTGACCAAAAATCAGGTTGGCCAAATAAACATTAGATGAATTATTATGGTAATGGTACAGCAGATTGCGCTTTGGGACGTGACAAGGTTTTTTTAGTAGCATTTGAACTTTGGGCACGCTCGCTTTGTTGATTGCTTATCGTACTCGACATGTAACAAGACTACTCGTAGCGTGAAACATCATTATTTCTCTGTCGAGTTGTCTAAATATTTGCTAATGTGTGCTGCATGGAAAAATGAAAATACAACCAGCAATAAGGGTAGTTGGTTACTGTGCAAGTAGCACAGAAAGTTTCGATCAAAGTCTTGAAAAACGTTTTTTTTTTCAAATTGTAGTCGTTTTTTTTTTCTGCGTGGTGTTATAAAAGACTCTAAATGAAAAACTAGAGCTTAAGCATATTCGACAGTCGTAGTAAAATAAGCAAATTGGAAATTCCGTTTTTGTTTTTAAAAAGGCGCCAAAATACTCAAAAAAAACTAACTTTAGTCGAAAAAAACTAAGTTTTTACCGCTTAAATTAAGCAATTGGAAGCTTTTAAGCGATTAAAATAAACTATTGTAAGCCTGTTCGCTCACTCGAAATTAAACAGAAAATCAAAACTTTCAAACCGTTTTTTTTATTTTCTACCTTATTTGGTGGAAAAAAACAACAAAAAAGACAATTAAAACACCCGAAAATTCTCAACAGTCGAATCAATAACAATAGACTTTTACTCGGCATACGAACACACGTCTGTATTTTTACGCTTTTCACACGCTTTTGCGGTTCAAGGTTTCTTCAAGACTTCTTTATTATCCCAAGGGCGCCCTCAGCTGGGTTTCGCTAATTTTTGCGAAGTGCAGCTTCACCTCTGTTTTAAAAAGTAAGACATTAGATTAATTTTCAAGAGAACCAATCAGGAAATCCAAAAATTGGGGACAAATGTTTTTCGTGTAGTACGTGTTTTAGTTTTTGCTCCTACCATTGAAAATAGGGAGGAGCTTTGAGTTCAGGTGGTTTTACTTTTTAAAATTTTTCTTCACGCGAAATCTTGTACCACAACTATCTTGTAATGGGTCGATTGATATATATTTTTTTGAAAACCTTTGCGCGAACAAAGCGAGCGAACAGGCTTATATTTGGCTAAAATAGGCTATAACCGGCTTATAATAGGCTAAAATAGTTTTTTGATTTGATAGGGGTATTCTCGCTCTAAAGTGTTCGTTTTTAAAACAACCAAAATTGAAGCAAATCAGCCGATATAGCATGTTCGTCTCATTTGGCTCATAATTGGTTGTTTAAAGGGCGACAAAATATTAGTTTTGTTTGCTTCGGAGGACTTAACAGCTTCTTGTATTATTTAATTTTTTTTCGGCTCACAGATTTTCTAGACACTTTTATGGCTCTAAAAATTTAGCCGAATAAGGTAAATTGATAAATTTTTTATTAGTCCTTTGTTAACGCTGCACTTTATGTTTCTCCACTTGTTTTCTCGAAATTGATCGTCCTTCAAGACATTCAATTGAAGATGGAGTTTTTCGAGATTTTTTCTAAATACTTTACTGGTCTTAGTGGTTTGGTGATATGTTACAATAGGTGGTAATTTTGAGTGTAGTGCATGTATTAAATTTGAGAACTCATATGCATAATATAGTCATTTTATTTTCAGCCAACTGTTCTAGTACTAAGATATTTTTTGTAAATTCATTACCATGCCAAAAGAAATGCTATTCAAAAGCTCAAATTTTACAATTTTGCCAAAAAAAACTTTTGCTTTTGAAATTAATTTTAAATAATGTGCGAAGTACGACAAAAAGCGATCCAGCTATGCAATTGCATCTACCACCTATTGTAATATATCACCGTGGTTTCGTCTCTATTTCTATCGGCTAGCTTGAACTGCTGAGTGCGATGTATCGCAAGTGTTAGGCTTAGCCTGTATGTTAAATTTTTTCACGTGCCATTATCGAATAAATTAAAATCTTGATTTATTTGATTGCAAATTTTTACAAGGATATCCAATTGCTGCGTAAGTAGCCCAGAACTTTCGATCACATTCATACAAAATGCTACAAAAAAGTGTTTTTCTCAATTTAGTGCCGTTTTTTGTGCGTGGAATGATGAAAGAACGCGTAATAAAACATTTGTGAATTAGGCATAATCGACAAAAAATGATTAATTCGGAAATGATTAACAAAGATCTGAACGAAAAAAAAAGAACTTATAAAAAAGTGACAAGAAAAACGGAAAAAAAAGAACTTATAAAAAAGTGACAAGAAAAACGAAAAAAAAAGTTTTTTTTTAGCTCGAAATTAGATCAAAATTTAAAATTTTCAAACCGGATTTTCTTGATTTTTAAAATTTTTAAAAAGACTGAAAGGGCTTTAGTATGATTTATCACTCAACCCTGTCTGATGCTTATTTGTGGTAGCTGATTTTGCGTGAAAAACAAAAAGATAAAACTAAAACACACCCGAATACAAAGTTCCTCTCCATTTTCAATGGTCGGAAGAATCAGCAAGCTAATTGGTCACAATAATTACCCACTCAAATTACAACTTTCAGGACCCGACCCGTTAGTTTTAATGTGTTTTTGGACATTTCTTGTTTGCTCATTTTTGCTAACCTTATCTTGTACCACAACTATCTTATAATGGGTCGATTGATATATATTTTTTTGAAAACCTTTGCGCGAACAAAGCGAGCGAACAGGCTTATATTTGGCTAAAATAGGCTATAACCGGCTTATAATAGGCTAAAATAGTTTTTTGATTTGATAGGGGTATTCTCGCTCTAAAGTGTTCGTTTTTAAAACAACCAAAATTGAAGCAAATCAGCCGATATAGCATGTTCGTCTCATTTGGCTCATAATTGGTTGTTTAAAGGGCGACAAAATATTAGTTTTGTTTGCTTCGGAGGACTTAACAGCTTCTTGTATTATTTAATTTTTTTTCGGTTCACAGATTTTCTAGACACTTTTATGGCTCTAAAAATTTAGCCGAATAAGGTAAATTGATAAATTTTTTATTAGTCCTTTGTTAACGCTGCACTTTATGTTTCTCCACTTGTTTTCTCGAAATTGATCGTCCTTCAAGACATTCAATTGAAGATGGAGTTTTTCGAGATTTTTTCTAAATACTTTACTGGTCTTAGTGGTTTGGTGATATGTTACAATAGGTGGTAATTTTGAGTGTAGTGCATGTATTAAATTTGAGAACTCATATGCATAATATAGTCATTTTATTTTCAGCCAACTGTTCTAGTACTAAGATATTTTTTGTAAATTCATTACCATGCCAAAAGAAATGCTATTCAAAAGCTCAAATTTTACAATTTTGCCAAAAAAAACTTTTGCTTTTGAAATTAATTTTAAATAATGTGCGAAGTACGACAAAAAGCGATCCAGCTATGCAATTGCATCTACCACCTATTGTAATATATCACCGTGGTTTCGTCTCTATTTCTATCGGCTAGCTTGAACTGCTGAGTGCGATGTATCGCAAGTGTTAGGCTTAGCCTGTATGTTAAATTTTTTCACGTGCCATTATCGAATAAATTAAAATCTTGATTTATTTGATTGCAAATTTTTACAAGGATATCCAATTGCTGCGTAAGTAGCCCAGAACTTTCGATCACATTCATACAAAATGCTACAAAAAAGTGTTTTTCTCAATTTAGTGCCGTTTTTTGTGCGTGGAATGATGAAAGAACGCGTAATAAAACATTTGTGAATTAGGCATAATCGACAAAAAATGATTAATTCGGAAATGATTAACAAAGATCTGAACGAAAAAAAAAGAACTTATAAAAAAGTGACAAGAAAAACGGAAAAAAAAGAACTTATAAAAAAGTGACAAGAAAAACGAAAAAAAAAGTTTTTTTTTAGCTCGAAATTAGATCAAAATTTAAAATTTTCAAACCGGATTTTCTTGATTTTTAAAATTTTTAAAAAGACTGAAAGGGCTTTAGTATGATTTATCACTCAACCCTGTCTGATGCTTATTTGTGGTAGCTGATTTTGCGTGAAAAACAAAAAGATAAAACTAAAACACACCCGAATACAAAGTTCCTCTCCATTTTCAATGGTCGGAAGAATCAGCAAGCTAATTGGTCACAATAATTACCCACTCAAATTACAACTTTCAGGACCCGACCCGTTAGTTTTAATGTGTTTTTGGACATTTCTTGTTTGCTCATTTTTGCTAACCTTATCTTGTACCACAACTATCTTATAATGGGTCGATTGATATATATTTTTTTGAAAACCTTTGCGCGAACAAAGCGAGCGAACAGGCTTATATTTGGCTAAAATAGGCTATAACCGGCTTATAATAGGCTAAAATAGTTTTTTGATTTGATAGGGGTATTCTCGCTCTAAAGTGTTCGTTTTTAAAACAACCAAAATTGAAGCAAATCAGCCGATATAGCATGTTCGTCTCATTTGGCTCATAATTGGTTGTTTAAAGGGCGACAAAATATTAGTTTTGTTTGCTTCGGAGGACTTAACAGCTTCTTGTATTATTTAATTTTTTTTCGGTTCACAGATTTTCTAGACACTTTTATGGCTCTAAAAATTTAGCCGAATAAGGTAAATTGATAAATTTTTTATTAGTCCTTTGTTAACGCTGCACTTTATGTTTCTCCACTTGTTTTCTCGAAATTGATCGTCCTTCAAGACATTCAATTGAAGATGGAGTTTTTCGAGATTTTTTCTAAATACTTTACTGGTCTTAGTGGTTTGGTGATATGTTACAATAGGTGGTAATTTTGAGTGTAGTGCATGTATTAAATTTGAGAACTCATATGCATAATATAGTCATTTTATTTTCAGCCAACTGTTCTAGTACTAAGATATTTTTTGTAAATTCATTACCATGCCAAAAGAAATGCTATTCAAAAGCTCAAATTTTACAATTTTGCCAAAAAAAACTTTTGCTTTTGAAATTAATTTTAAATAATGTGCGAAGTACGACAAAAAGCGATCCAGCTATGCAATTGCATCTACCACATATTGTAATATATCACCGTGGTTTCGTCTCTATTTCTATCGGCTAGCTTGAACTGCTGAGTGCGATGTATCGCAAGTGTTAGGCTTAGCCTGTATGTTAAATTTTTTCACGTGCCATTATCGAATAAATTAAAATCTTGATTTATTTGATTGCAAATTTTTACAAGGATATCCAATTGCTGCGTAAGTAGCCCAGAATTTTCGATCACATTCATACAGAATGCTACAAAAAAGTGTTTTTCTCAATTTAGTGCCGTTTTTGTGCGTGGAATGATGAAAGAACGCGTAATAAAAGATTTGTGAATTAGGCATAATCGACAAAAAAATGATTAATTCGGAAATGATTAACAAAGATCTGAACGAAAAAAAAAGAACTTATAAAAAAGTGACAAGAAAAACGAAAAAAAATATTTGCAGAGTTTTTTTAGCTCGAAATTAGATCAAAATTTAAAAATTTCAAACTGGTTTTTCTTGATTTTTAAATTTAAAGACTGAAAGGGCTTTAGTATGATTTATCACTCAACCCTGTCTGATGCTTATTTGTGGTAGCTGATTTTGCGTGAAAAACAAAAAGATAAAACTAAAACACACCCGAATACAAAGTTCCTCTCCATTTTCTATGGTCGGAAGAATCAGCAAGCTAATTGGTCACAATAATTACCCACTCAAATTACAACTTTCAGGACCCGACCCGTTAGTTTTAATGTGTTTTTGGACATTTCTTGTTTGCTCATTTTTGCTAACCTTATCTTGTACCACAACTATCTTATAATGGGTCGATTGATATATATTTTTTTGAAAACCTTTGCGCGAACAAAGCGAGCGAACAGGCTTATATTTGGCTAAAATAGGCTATAACCGGCTTATAATAGGCTAAAATAGTTTTTTGATTTGATAGGGGTATTCTCGCTCTAAAGTGTTCGTTTTTAAAACAACCAAAATTGAAGCAAATCAGCCGATATAGCATGTTCGTCTCATTTGGCTCATAATTGGTTGTTTAAAGGGCGACAAAATGTTAGTTTTGTTTGCTTCGGAGGACTTAACAGCTTCTTGGATTATTTAATTTTTTTAGTGCCGTTCTCAATTTAGTGCCGTTTTTTGTGCGTGGAATCATGAAAGAACGCGTAATAAAACATTTGTGAATTAGGCATAATCAACAAAAAATGATTAATTCGGAAATGATTAACAAAGATCTGAACGAAAAAAAAGAACTTATAAAAAAGTGACAAGAAAAACGAAAAAAAAAGAACTTATAAAAAAGTGACAAGAAAAACGAAAAAAAAAGGTTTTTTTTTTAGCTCGAAATTAGATCAAAATTTAAAATTTTCAAACCGGTTTTTCTTGATTTTTAAAATTTTTAAAAAGACTGAAAGGTCTTTAGTATGATTTATCACTCAACCCTGTCTGATGCTTATTTGTGGTAGCTGATTTTGCGTGAAAAACAAAAAGATAAAACTAAAACACACCCGAATACAAAGTTCCTCTCCATTTTCAATGGTCGGAACAATCAGCAAGCTAATTGGTCACAATAATTACCCACTCAAATTACAACTTTCAGGACCCGACCCGTTAGTTTTAATGTGTTTTTGGACATTTCTTGTTTGCTCATTTTTGCTAACCTTATTTTAAGCAAGTAAACTGGAGTTTTGGAAAAAAAAATAAGTTTTTCTACTAATTTTTCTACAAAAATTGTTGTCCAATTTGCCTACATTACTATGACTGTCTAATATGCCTAAATTTTGTTTTTAGGTCAGATCCTTTTATCACACCGAGCAGAAAAAAACTTCACTAATTTGAAAAAAAATATTTTTTAAACCTAGTTTTTCCGAATACCATGATCGGAACATTCTGTGATACTTGCACAGTAACCGGCTATCCTTGTTTTTTTACCATTTCTTCGTTGTTTTCACAGGCTTTCATACCAGAGGAGATTGTGCATCAGTCCAACTGTGAAATCACTATAGGAAGCAAAGTAAAAATGACGTGTGTCGAAAGCAAAATGCATCCTAGGAGCAATTGGAGAGCAGTAATTGTCGAGCTGATCGATGAGTCTCAAAATTCCGAAGATATGTCTTTGCAGAGTTCGCGACTAAGTCTTACGGAGTCTCTTTTGACAGATATGGGCATTAGAATTGAACCAGTATCTATGGTTTTCTCGGAAGCAGCAGTTGGCACAACAAAAATACAATATTTTACAGTTTCAACTGAGAAAAGAGAAACGGCGAAGCTATTGAGTGTGTCGTTGGCTTCTTTGGGAACACCTTATTCTTTGTTTATTGATGACAAACTAGTTATTGATTGTTTGTTTCCGTGTATTATTCGGAAAGAAAAACCATTGTTTGTGAAAGTTGTGTTGAATTCAGAAGACGTGGGTCGTAATGAAACATTCTGCAAGTTTTGTTTTGAAAATGGACAGGCTCTCAGAAAAGTGAGCTCCACCGTTTTTTCGCCGGACGAGCTCATGTTTGACACTAAGTCCCTGATGGCCTCCACAAGCCACGGTGGAAAAAGTCACGGAAATGCCCTGGACAGGTCAAGAAATACAGGCAGTTTCGTGCCAGGAGTAAAACCAGTTTACAGTAGCAAAGCTGGAACTCCAGTTAGGTTTCATCATTACCCTGTGCCAGATCAAATTAAATCTGCAGTTATGGACAAAAGAGACATGTCTGTTGTATGTCCTGAGTTGTTGATGCCATTGAGCGCAAAGAACTACCAGGCGAAGTTCCATGCGTTGTTGTACATAGAAGAGGTTGAAAGTGACCTTGAAATGGCAGTTTTTGACTTGAACAATGTGCAAATGAGGCCAGATAATGAATTTCTTTGTCTTGAGGTCCCTGGATTGTCCGAAGGTAGACCTTCGTTGCTCGTTGGAGACCGTATTCTGATGAAACAATCGAATGACATCTATGGATTCAACTCTCCGTGTAATGAAGCATACATTCATAAAGTGACAGCGTCTACGATTTTTCTCAGATTCAATGAGGCTTTTCATAGATCGTATGATGGTTACGAGGTAGACGTTCAATTTCTACCGAATAGAAATTCGTTCAAGAAAGCGCATCTGGCTGTAGACTACTCGTCCAATTTTCCTACGTGGTTGCTATTTCCTCAGTGGTTAGAGGTAAAGCAGCCATTATATGTTCCAGGATCGAAGAGTCGTCCTAGAGTCGTTAAGCCATCTAGGGCTGCATTCGGTTATGGATATGAAGTGAATGTACCGTTTGCAGCGCCTGTGATGCCTCTGCTTCATGGTGGAATCCGAAACAATACGCGCAGAGACAGTGGTCGGATACATAGAAAAGCACAACCTTTAGACACAAGTGTTTGTGAGTCGCCCAGACAAAGCAGGGAGTTTTTCAACCCCAACTTAAATGAGAGACAACAAGCAGCTGTCCGAAGGATTTTGGCGGCCGAATGTCGCCCAATTCCGTATATTCTGTTTGGACCTCCAGGAACTGGGAAGACGATCACAGTTGTAGAGAGCATTCTCCAAGTGTTTGTTTGCATACCGGAGTCGAGAATTCTTGCATGTGCACCTTCAAACAGTGCAGCGGATTTGATCGTTCAGCGCATCAATTCATCGGGAATTGTAGGAATGGATGACGCTGTGAGATTCAATGGAGCAAACCGTTCGCTTAACTCGGTTCCCGATGACATCATCAAGTACTGCTGCAATGACATGGACGAGCTAGAAACCATTGTGAGGTACAGAATTGTAGTCTGCACATGTACTACAGCTGGAAATTTCTTCTCGTTAGAGCTGAAGCCAAGTCATTTCACACATGTATTTGTCGTTGAGGCGGGGCAGGCGACTGAACCAGAGACTATGGTGCCTCTAGTGCTAACGGCTGGAAACCCGGAAGCTATGGTGATTTTGGCGGGAGATCCGATGCAACTCGGACCTGTGCTGCGGTCTCACGAAGCCGAAGAGTACGGTTTAGGAGAATCGTTTCTGGCACGGCTGTCCAATCGAAAGCTATACGCGAGAGACGAGTCTGTTTTCGCGAAGGAGGGGAACTACAATCCGAAAGTCATGACGAAGCTTGTAGATAATTACAGGTCACATTTCACTTTGCTAACAATTCCGAGTCGTATATTCTACAACGACGAACTAATTGCGTGTGCTGATGGAAAATTGGTTGATACTTTCGTTAATTGGCAGCATCTGCCAAATAAAGAGATGCCGCTCATTTTCTGTGGTGTAAGAGGCAATGATTTGCGAGAGAATGATAGCCCGTCTTGGTTCAATACTACTGAAGTTGTCCAAGTTGTCAAATATGTCAAACTGATATTAGATGACCAAATGGTACCAAGCTATGATATCGGAATCATAACTCCTTACAGAAAACAGGTAGAAAAATTGAGGCAGTTCATGGCGACGTTTGAATTTGGAAAGATGAAAGTTGGATCGGTAGAAGAGTTTCAAGGACAAGAAAGGCAAGTCATAATTCTTTCTACTGTCCGGTCAGATGAAAGCAAAGTTGAAAGCGATGTTTTTCACAACCTGGGATTCCTGTCAAACCCCCGCCGCTTCAACGTTTCTATAACCAGATCACAAGCACTGCTGATAATTGTAGGTAACCCTTTTGTTCTCATGAAAGACCAGTATTGGAATTCGTTCATGGAATACGCCATCATGAATGGATGCTATGTTGGATGCGAACCACCTCAGAAATTTGTGCAAAATCAAGACGATTATATTAAACCTTTCATCGCAACACAGGAAGTTATGGAAGAAACGTTTCTACCACTAGATGAGGAGGTATCGAAGGATATTCAAATTAGAAACGGAGATGTTTCTACATTGGCGACTGAAATAGGACCTGAAGCACTGGCGACTATTGACAATTTGAGCGTTCCGATGTCATCTGCAAAGACAACAGAAACGGGGAGTCCACTTTCAATCAATCTAATCGACACGTCGGAGAAACACGACGATTCATCTCCAAAAAGTCTAGTCGCTTTTGCACAAGAAGTGAGCGATAGAAGCTCATCGGCAGAGATCGACAGCGGAGAATCGATTCCATTTGAGTTCAATCTGGCCGAATCCAGGGAAAACTCAGAAAATGCTTCAGAAGAGTCTAATTTAATAGGCGATGCAGAGACATTCGCATCGAGAAGTTCTGGAACGAAGTCTCGACCCATTAGTGCGAATAGTGTAGCGTCGGGAAGTGGTGTGACTTCGAACGGATCTGTAGATCAATTTAATACGTCGGCGCTAGATAGCAATTTATCGCCCTCGTACCAAGTGCCTTCGGCTAATGATCCTGTATGGAAACTAACCGAAGGCAGAAGTCCAAACTCGATGCTGGAAGGAAGCTCGGACATGGTCGACAAAAATTTGGCTAATTTTGAGTCTGGTGGTGAAACAGCAGAAAAATTAAGTGCTATGAAACATGGAAAACCAATTCGAACGCCTAATACCGAAAATGACTTACAGGAAACTGAAGCCAGAGTTGATGATCTGGAAAGTCCTGGGCCACGTGATCCAAATGAAAGCGAACAGACACCTCGCGTCTCCGAAGACGTCAAGCCTGAAGTTTTGTACCGAAAAGATTCAAAAGATATGTACAACACAGAACCTTCCACAGCTGTTGAAGGTAGCATAAATTTGAACTCATTTCACCTTCCAGATTTCGAGTCAGGGGTGAAACCAGTGTCTAAATATTCAACCAGTACTCTGAAGCAGCAATTGATGAGCCCTGAATCCCCGAGTGCAATTTACTCAGACTTCTCAGCTTCGCCAGCGCCAGATGTCGGGAGTGATGGAATGACAATTGATTCTGAGTTATCGACTCAATCGAATGAATCAAAGATTGCGAACTCTTTTGAGTACCATCGTGGTTTGACTCCAAATGAGACACTAGATAGCAGCAAGACACCTTTCTTCAATCTAACAGCTACGCATGCTGAAATGGACAGCGAAATGTACGATTCAATTGAACCGTTCCCTGAAGAGTTGGAAACTCTTAAATAAGCAACTAGCAATATTTTGAAGAAAGCAGCTCAAAAAAGCGAAAAGATATCAGATAAGAGAGAAGCTAAGGTGGAGTTGGTTGAAAGCTCGAATAGCGTAGTAAGATCAGAGGCTGAAGGGAATGCAATGGAGGAGGAGGTTTCTAAGGAATGCAACAAACCGGCTTGTATTGAAAAACGGGAAGCAATTGCAAATCTTACAGGTTTGTCTGAAGAAGAACAATTGAAAGTTGAGATACCCGAAGGGGACCCAAGTTGTACAATATCTTTAGCGCCGAGGAGCAGCTGCTTGGGGTGTTCATTGTGGCCGCGTGATCAGTAACGATAAAAGATTATAATAGTTTGAAAAAGAGTAATTTTTTATTCATAAGCGTGCCGTAGTAATTATTTTCCGATTCATTGAAGTTAATTGCCAGTACAATAAAAAGTCTGCTGGTCATTGTAAGTTTTTTTCTGATGTTATCATAAATGAAAACGCACTGGCCGTTGAACACCTGTTATAACAAAACATTGAATTGAAACTCGAAGATTTAACTATGTTCAACGTCTTAGAAGAAAGTTTGAAGTCGTTTGAAGAAATTATCAGCATATTAAAAAAAAAGTTAGTCTATTATGGACTGTTTTATTAATCTCGTTATTTTTATAAAGGTTATTTTTTTTTCAGGAAAATGTTCTTTGCAGCCTATTGTATATACGAGAAATACTACAATGAAAAATTATTAAAAGAGAGACGCGATTTTTTCAAGGAGCGATACATAGAACGCTCTCGGCTGACTTTTTCCGGTTTGCCTCAGAGAGACTTCACGGGTAAAATCAGCCACTTGACCGATGACTTCGGAATATTTGAAAACTTCATCTATTTCGACAGAAACAGTGCTTCGCGATCAACGGATATCCAAATTGGAACTAAGGTTGTTGTCACGGCGTACTGCGATGACTTTTTCGAAAATTACCAATTTGTTAGGATGAGAGTAGTAAAAGAAGAAGATGAGGTAACTATGAGTACTACTGTGTTTATAACGTGCATTGATCATTACGAAGACAGAGGGCAGAATATCAGATTAACTAATGGACAATTGGTAGAAACGCGTAACGTTGATCAAACTCACAGCTTGATGCCAGGTGACTGGGTTAGGGTGACGTCTAGTGGAAAGCCAGATGAGTTTACGAAAAATCAGAAGGTTGCATACCTGGAGGCTTTGCGTCTCATCGAATGTGAGTCGATCGTTTCAGAAACCCAAAGACGAGGATTTCTGACCAAAAATCAGGTTGGTCAAACAAACATTAGATGAATTATTATGGTAATGGTACAGCATATAGCGCTTTGGGACGTGACAAAGTTTTTTTTGTAACATTTGAACTTTGGGCACGCTCGCTTTGTTGATTGCCTATCGTACTCGACATGTAACAAGACTGCTCGTAGCGTGAAACATCATTATTTCTCTGTCGAGTTGTCTAAATATTTGCTAATGTGTGCTGCATGGAAAAATGAAAATACAACCAGCAATGAGGGTAGTTGGTTACTGTGCAAGTAGCACAGAAAGTTTCGATCAAAGTCTTAAAAAATACAAAAACTTTTTTTTTTTCAAATTGTAGTAGTTTTTTTTCTGCGTGGTGTTATAAAAGACTCTAAATTAAAAACTAGAGCTTAGGCATATTCGACAGTCGTAGTAAAATAAGCAAATTGGAAATTCCGTTTTTGTTTTTAAAAAGGCGCCAAAACACTCAAAAAAAACTAACTTAAGTCGAAAAAAAACTAAGTTTTTACCGCTTAAATTAAGCAATTGGAAGCTTTTAAGCGATTAAAATAAACTTTTGTAAGCCTGTTCGCTCACTCGAAATTAAACAGAAAATCAAAAAATTCAAACTTTTTTTTTTATTTTCTACCTTATTTGGTGGAAAAAAACAACAAAAAAAGAAAATTGAAACACCCGAAAATTCGTGTGTATTTTTACGCTTTTCACACGCTATTGCTGTTCAAGGTTTTTTCATGACTTCTTTATTATCCCATGGGCTCCCTCAGCTGGGTTTCGCTAATTTTTGCGAAGTGCAGCTTCACCTCTGTTTTAAAAAATAAGACATGAGATTAAATTTCAAGAGAACCAATCAGGAAATCCAGAAATTGGGGACAAATGGTTTTCGTGTTAGGGCGTGTTTTAGTTTTTGCTCCGACCATTGAAAATAGGGAGGAGCTTTGAGTTCGGGTGGCTTTACTTTTTTAAATTTTTTCTTCACGCGAAATCTTGTACCACAACTATCTTGTAATGGGTCGATTGATATATATTTTTTTGAAAACCTTTGCGCGAACAAAGCGAGCGAACAGGCTTATATTTGGCTAAAATAGGCTATAACCGGCTTATAATAGGCTAAAATAGTTTTTTGATTTGATAGGGGTATTCTCGCTCTAAAGTGTTCGTTTTTAAAGCAACCAATTTTGAAGCAAATCAGCCGATATAGCATGTTCTTCTCATCTGGCTCATAATTGGTTGTTTAAAGGGCGACAAAATATTAGTTTTGTTTGCTTCGGAGGACTTAACAGCTTCTTGGATTATTTAATTTTTTTCGGCTCTCAAAATTTCTAGACACTTTTATGGCTCTAAAAATTTAACCGATTAAGGTAAATTGATAAATTTTTTATTAGTCCTTTGTTAACGCTGCACTTTATGTTTCTCCTTTTGTTTTCTCGAAATTGATCGTCCTCCGAGACATTCAATTAAAGATGGAGTTTTTTCGAGATTTTTTCTAAATACTTTACTGGACTTAGTGGTTTGGTGATATAATACAATAGGTGGTACTTTTGAGTGTAGTGCATGTATTAAATTTGAGAACTCATATGCATAATATAGTCATTTCATTTTCAGCCAACTGTTCTAGTACTAAGATATTTTTTGTAAATTCATTACGATGCCAAAAGAAATGCTATTCAAAAACTCAAATTTTACAATTTTGCCAAAAAAAACTTTTGCTTTTGAAATTAATTATAAATAATTTGCGAAGTACGACAAAAAGCGATCCAGATATTGAAATTGCATCTACCACCTATTGTAATATATCACCGTGGTTTCGTCTCTATTTCTATCCGCTAGCTTGAACTGCTGAGTGCGATGTATCGCAAGTGTTAGGCTTAGCCTGTATGTTAAATTTTTTCACGTGCCATTATCGAATAAATAAAATCTTGATTTTATTTGATTGCAAATTTTAACAAGGATGTCCAATTGCTGGGTAAGTAGCCCAACATTTTCCGATCACATTCATACAAAATGCTACAAAAAGTGTTTTTCTCAATTTAGTGCCGTTTTTTGTGCGTGGAATGATGAAAGAACGCGTAATAAAACATTTGTGAATTAGGCATAATCGACACATTTCTTCGAAAATGATTAATTCGGAAATGATTAACAAAGATCTGAACGAAAAAATAGAACTTAAAAAAAGTGACAAGAAAAACGAAAAAAAAAATTTGCTGAATTTTTTTTAGCTCGAAATTAGACCAAAATTAAAAAATTTCAAACCGGTTTTTCTTGATTTTTAAATGTCGTTCGAATCACGACTGAAAGGGCTTTAGTATGATTTATCACTCAACATTGTCTGATGCTTATTTGTGGTAGCTGATTTTGCGTGAAAAACAAAGAAAAAACTAAAACACACCCGAATACAAAGTTCATCTCCATTTTCAATGGTCGGAACAATAAGCAAGCTAATTGGTCACAATAATTACCCACTCAAATTACAACTTTCTGGACCCGACCCGTTAGTTTTAAGGTGTTTTTGGACATTTCTTTTTTGCTCATTTTTGCTAACTGCAGCTTGGCCTGAGCTTAAAACCTTATTTTAAGCAAGTAAACTGTTTTTGGAGTTTTGGAAAAAAAAATAAGTTTTTCTACTAATTTTTCTACAAAAATTGTTGTCCAATTTGCCTACATTACTATGACTGTCTAATATGCCTAAATTTTGTTTTTAGGTCAGATCCTTTTATCACACCGAGCAGAAAAAAACTTCACTAATTTGAAAAAAAATATTTTTTAAACCTAGTTTTTCCGAATACCATGATCGGAACATTCTGTGATACTTGCACAGTAACCGGCTATCCTTGTTTTTTTACCATTTCTTCGTTGTTTTCACAGGCTTTCATACCAGAGGAGATTGTGCATCAGTCCAACTGTGAAATCACTATAGGAAGCAAAGTAAAAATGACGTGTGTCGAAAGCAAAATGCATCCTAGGAGCAATTGGAGAGCAGTAATTGTCGAGCTGATCGATGAGTCTCAAAATTCCGAAGATATGTCTTTGCAGAGTTCGCGACTAAGTCTTACGGAGTCTCTTTTGACAGATATGGGCATTAGAATTGAACCAGTATCTATGGTTTTCTCGGAAGCAGCAGTTGGCACAACAAAAATACAATATTTTACAGTTTCAACTGAGAAAAGAGAAACGGCGAAGCTATTGAGTGTGTCGTTGGCTTCTTTGGGAACACCTTATTCTTTGTTTATTGATGACAAACTAGTTATTGATTGTTTGTTTCCGTGTATTATTCGGAAAGAAAAACCATTGTTTGTGAAAGTTGTGTTGAATTCAGAAGACGTGGGTCGTAATGAAACATTCTGCAAGTTTTGTTTTGAAAATGGACAGGCTCTCAGAAAAGTGAGCTCCACCGTTTTTTCGCCGGACGAGCTCATGTTTGACACTAAGTCCCTGATGGCCTCCACAAGCCACGGTGGAAAAAGTCACGGAAATGCCCTGGACAGGTCAAGAAATACAGGCAGTTTCGTGCCAGGAGTAAAACCAGTTTACAGTAGCAAAGCTGGAACTCCAGTTAGGTTTCATCATTACCCTGTGCCAGATCAAATTAAATCTGCAGTTATGGACAAAAGAGACATGTCTGTTGTATGTCCTGAGTTGTTGATGCCATTGAGCGCAAAGAACTACCAGGCGAAGTTCCATGCGTTGTTGTACATAGAAGAGGTTGAAAGTGACCTTGAAATGGCAGTTTTTGACTTGAACAATGTGCAAATGAGGCCAGATAATGAATTTCTTTGTCTTGAGGTCCCTGGATTGTCCGAAGGTAGACCTTCGTTGCTCGTTGGAGACCGTATTCTGATGAAACAATCGAATGACATCTATGGATTCAACTCTCCGTGTAATGAAGCATACATTCATAAAGTGACAGCGTCTACGATTTTTCTCAGATTCAATGAGGCTTTTCATAGATCGTATGATGGTTACGAGGTAGACGTTCAATTTCTACCGAATAGAAATTCGTTCAAGAAAGCGCATCTGGCTGTAGACTACTCGTCCAATTTTCCTACGTGGTTGCTATTTCCTCAGTGGTTAGAGGTAAAGCAGCCATTATATGTTCCAGGATCGAAGAGTCGTCCTAGAGTCGTTAAGCCATCTAGGGCTGCATTCGGTTATGGATATGAAGTGAATGTACCGTTTGCAGCGCCTGTGATGCCTCTGCTTCATGGTGGAATCCGAAACAATACGCGCAGAGACAGTGGTCGGATACATAGAAAAGCACAACCTTTAGACACAAGTGTTTGTGAGTCGCCCAGACAAAGCAGGGAGTTTTTCAACCCCAACTTAAATGAGAGACAACAAGCAGCTGTCCGAAGGATTTTGGCGGCCGAATGTCGCCCAATTCCGTATATTCTGTTTGGACCTCCAGGAACTGGGAAGACGATCACAGTTGTAGAGAGCATTCTCCAAGTGTTTGTTTGCATACCGGAGTCGAGAATTCTTGCATGTGCACCTTCAAACAGTGCAGCGGATTTGATCGTTCAGCGCATCAATTCATCGGGAATTGTAGGAATGGATGACGCTGTGAGATTCAATGGAGCAAACCGTTCGCTTAACTCGGTTCCCGATGACATCATCAAGTACTGCTGCAATGACATGGACGAGCTAGAAACCATTGTGAGGTACAGAATTGTAGTCTGCACATGTACTACAGCTGGAAATTTCTTCTCGTTAGAGCTGAAGCCAAGTCATTTCACACATGTATTTGTCGATGAGGCGGGGCAGGCGACTGAACCAGAGACTATGGTGCCTCTAGTGCTAACGGCTGGAAACCCGGAAGCTATGGTGATTTTGGCGGGAGATCCGATGCAACTCGGACCTGTGCTGCGGTCTCACGAAGCCGAAGAGTACGGTTTAGGAGAATCGTTTCTGGCACGGCTGTCCAATCGAAAGCTATACGCGAGAGACGAGTCTGTTTTCGCGAAGGAGGGGAACTACAATCCGAAAGTCATGACGAAGCTTGTAGATAATTACAGGTCACATTTCACTTTGCTAACAATTCCGAGTCGTATATTCTACAACGACGAACTAATTGCGTGTGCTGATGGAAAATTGGTTGATACTTTCGTTAATTGGCAGCATCTGCCAAATAAAGAGATGCCGCTCATTTTCTGTGGTGTAAGAGGCAATGATTTGCGAGAGAATGATAGCCCGTCTTGGTTCAATACTACTGAAGTTGTCCAAGTTGTCAAATATGTCAAACTGATATTAGATGACCAAATGGTACCAAGCTATGATATCGGAATCATAACTCCTTACAGAAAACAGGTAGAAAAATTGAGGCAGTTCATGGCGACGTTTGAATTTGGAAAGATGAAAGTTGGATCGGTAGAAGAGTTTCAAGGACAAGAAAGGCAAGTCATAATTCTTTCTACTGTCCGGTCAGATGAAAGCAAAGTTGAAAGCGATGTTTTTCACAACCTGGGATTCCTGTCAAACCCCCGCCGCTTCAACGTTTCTATAACCAGATCACAAGCACTGCTGATAATTGTAGGTAACCCTTTTGTTCTCATGAAAGACCAGTATTGGAATTCGTTCATGGAATACGCCATCATGAATGGATGCTATGTTGGATGCGAACCACCTCAGAAATTTGTGCAAAATCAAGACGATTATATTAAACCTTTCATCGCAACACAGGAAGTTATGGAAGAAACGTTTCTACCACTAGATGAGGAGGTATCGAAGGATATTCAAATTAGAAACGGAGATGTTTCTACATTGGCGACTGAAATAGGACCTGAAGCACTGGCGACTATTGACAATTTGAGCGTTCCGATGTCATCTGCAAAGACAACAGAAACGGGGAGTCCACTTTCAATCAATCTAATCGACACGTCGGAGAAACACGACGATTCATCTCCAAAAAGTCCAGTCGCTTTTGCACAAGAAGTGAGCGATAGAAGCTCATCGGCAGAGATCGACAGCGGAGAATCGATTCCATTTGAGTTCAATCTGGCCGAATCCAGGGAAAACTCAGAAAATGCTTCAGAAGAGTCTAATTTAATAGGCGATGCAGAGACATTCGCATCGAGAAGTTCTGGAACGAAGTCTCGACCCATTAGTGCGAATAGTGTAGCGTCGGGAAGTGGTGTGACTTCGAACGGATCTGTAGATCAATTTAATACGTCGGCGCTAGATAGCAATTTATCGCCCTCGTACCAAGTGCCTTCGGCTAATGATCCTGTATGGAAACTAACCGAAGGCAGAAGTCCAAACTCGATGCTGGAAGGAAGCTCGGACATGGTCGACAAAAATTTGGCTAATTTTGAGTCTGGTGGTGAAACAGCAGAAAAATTAAGTGCTATGAAACATGGAAAACCAATTCGAACGCCTAATACCGAAAATGACTTACAGGAAACTGAAGCCAGAGTTGATGATCTGGAAAGTCCTGGGCCACGTGATCCAAATGAAAGCGAACAGACACCTCGCGTCTCCGAAGACGTCAAGCCTGAAGTTTTGTACCGAAAAGATTCAAAAGATATGTACAACACAGAACCTTCCACAGCTGTTGAAGGTAGCATAAATTTGAACTCATTTCACCTTCCAGATTTCGAGTCAGGGGTGAAACCAGTGTCTAAATATTCAACCAGTACTCTGAAGCAGCAATTGATGAGCCCTGAATCCCCGAGTGCAATTTACTCAGACTTCTCAGCTTCGCCAGCGCCAGATGTCGGGAGTGATGGAATGACAATTGATTCTGAGTTATCGACTCAATCGAATGAATCAAAGATTGCGAACTCTTTTGAGTACCATCGTGATTTGACTCCAAATGAGACACTAGATAGCAGCAAGACACCTTTCTTCAATCTAACAGCTACGCATGCTGAAATGGACAGCGAAATGTACGATTCAATTGAACCGTTCCCTGAAGAGTTGGAAACTCTTAAATATGCAACTAGCAATATTTTGAAGAAAGCAGCTCAAAAAAGCGAAAAGATATCAGATAAGAGAGAAGCTAAGGTGGAGTTGGTTGAAAGCTCGAATAGCGTAGTAAGATCAGAGGCTGAAGGGAATGCAATGGAGGAGGAGGTTTCTAAGGAATGCAACAAACCGGCTTGTATTGAAAAACGGGAAGCAATTGCAAATCTTTCAGGTTTGTCTGAAGAAGAACAATTGAAAGTTGAGATACCCGAAGGGGACCCAAGTTGTACAATATGCGCCAGGGTGGGCAAATATTTAAACAAAAACGACCAGGATGCAGAATTATCACCAGACGCGACATCGAAGCACGTTACATTTCATTCGGGACGACTTAGTGCTATCGAAGCAGACAGAAGTTGCTCGCACAATGAAAACAAAACAGACTGCAAGGTTTGCGCCAATGTTGCTGAGAAAATGAGAAACGAAGCAGCGAGTAGGCAGGATGAAAGTCTCATAAGTTCGTCCAATAAGTTTGGGTCATACAAGAGAGCTTCCGACGAGGCGAAAACAACGTGTCCGATTTGTCTTAAGGTATTCCGGGAGAGTAAACTGGCCGATAAGGATGACATCGGCGCACTAAGTGTTCTTGAGCAACATGTTATGGAATGTCAGGAAAGAGCTAAATTGCTTTCCGCTTCTCAGAACCAAGGTCAGAGTTTGGATTCAATAAATCAGACCTATAGCACCACGTCAGCCGTGTTTAATCTTAAGGACGAACCAGGATATGATGAAAACAGAAAGGACGAATTTAATGAATCGTCGAATTATTCAATATTTGCAGACTACTCCACGTTTTATAATTCGACTAACGAAAAAATGGAAAGTTTGTTTCATGAAAACCTGAGACAAGAAATCAAAGCTAAAAGTCTGTCAGAGGAAATTGGTGTGCAAAATATACAAAATGAAAAAGATGAGGCGAAGAATTCTAAAAATAAGTCTAATAGAAATTTACCATCTGGTGCCGCTCGCTCGGCCGGAAGAAATATAGATCCGTTAGCGCAGGATTTGAAAGAAGTATCGGAGAAGCAGACTGATACACCGTCTCCTAGTTCGAACACTAGGTTCCGGTCGAGTCCTGGTGACGTCACACTACTGGACTACTCGAGTTCCAGTAGCAACCCAATCCAGAGCACACTTGATCCAATGTTAGAAGAGGATACAGATTCGATAATGCAGTCGCAGATGAAGACAGCGGACGTTTCAGAAATGACTGGGAGCTCAAATATTGCCGTTCAGGAATCGAGAACAGAACTTGAAACGTTATCAATTACGAGTTATACTTCCGCGATTTCGTAACTTAAGCAATACGTTTTGTCACAATATCTTCAGCTCATTTTTTTTGCTTTTTTAAATCGAATTATTCAAACAGAAAGTATAACTTGTTCCATTTTCAAAGGCCAATTTACACACAGCCAGAAGAAATACATAATCTTAAATCGTCCCTCGAAGCCGCATCATCGGTTGCTCAGGAAAGCCGAAAATCAATGGTGAAACAATACGCTTCTCCTAATTCGAGTTCAGGAATTGAGTTCCAACATGCAACAGAGGAACCAGCTGATGTCGAGGCTCAAAATGCTCAAATTGCGAACAGAAGAAATGAAAACTTGCTCGAAGTGTACAGTGACGTGACGCCTGAATTTCAAACCACGCCTAATATATCAGTAGAAAAAGAAAATGACGCTAATACTAGCCTGAAATCGTTCGATCGCTCCGCGGAATCCAGAATGAAAACGTTGCCGTTTGTATACAAGTATCCGGACACGGCAGCTGAAATGAAAATAAATTCTGAGTCTTCGAAAGTCGGCTCTTCTGATATTTCGTTTTCGTCTGACGAGCTTTTGAATATAAACTCGCCTTTGAAGGACTCACAGGGTAATGAGAGTTCAAACATAGATGTTTCGGTTGTGCAAAGTGCCCTGGGATCTGACCGAGTGTCAGCAGCGCAATACGACGACATCGAAACTCGCCAGGATGCGCACAGCTCCAAACTTGAAGAGAATTACGTAATTGAGCATGAGAAAATTCTAGAAGAAAAAGAGCAGTTGAACATTACTGTTATACCGGATGTTGACCTTTCTGATTATGACAATTTTGAAAGAAAGGGTGAGGTGGTTCAAAGAGCTATGCCGTGTCAAGTTGAGGAGAACTTGGATGTTTTTGAAAGTCCTCGTGAACAGAATGAAGGAATTGTGCAGACAGCCCATTCTTCTGATCTCGTTGAACTAGAGCAATTTGAAGATGCTAAGCTGACCCAAGAGAGAACTCACAGCTCTAATTTGATTGTAAATTCTCATGATCAGTCCAATGAAGGTTCACTAGATGATGCCGAAGAGAAACCACAATTGAATAGAGACCAGGAAAAGATAATCGAAATCACGAAAGAGGAACCGGTGGAAAATTCGACAGACGGCTCAAAAGAGACCGGTTTGTACAGCAGCCGTTCGAATTTTGAAACTGTTTCGCAGTATGTAAATTTAAGACGGGTTAAATGTATCCCAAACAAAACTATTCTGAATATAAATCTGGAAGTTTTCTAGAATATATAAGCGAAAAAATGTTTATGATCGGTTCATTTAACCCGTCTCATTTTGACAGACCTAATTCCTATCAGTTTAAAACGGGAGTTACCCCAATACGATCAACCATTTCGACCTATGAGAAACCCAAACTACCGCCGCTTCGTCTGGTCACCGACGATGATCCGCTTGTCACAAGAGATGATCCAAAACAGAAAGCAATCACTGAAACCAAGTCTCCAAATTTCAGCTCTGATATTTCAGAAGTTGGCGTAGTATCTGCAGACCTAAATTCCGGTCGTCAGTCTCCTTATCAAAACTTGGGTTTCGAATCCAACGAAGAAAATGCGAGAAATATACAAGTCAGCTACGATAATGGGCCACCCGTTAGTCTGGATCCGAAAGGTGTAGTCGATCAAAGTCAACTGTCATCGCCGTTCAAGAACTATCGAGATGTAGAAGACCCGTCTCTTACGACAACTTCTTACACCGGAACTGCAGATAGTTTTGTGAGTGCAGATTTTGATGTCGGAAAAATAGTGCCTCCCGAATCTTCGCTGTCCAATTTTTCAGAGGATTCAAATCGCAGTTCGAATCGAAAAGGATCTCTGACGCTGCTCATGTCTGAGTTTGAGCGACTAGACGAAGTTCAAGAATCAAATCCTGATGTTTATTCGGGTTCAGTGTCTGTCAATCCGACTTCTGATAGCGTGATGCGGGTTCCAAGTTCAAAAAGTGATGGCTTGGATCTTTCAAACGATGATGAAGACAGTTCCTTCTTTCATGAGAACCTTGAAAATTAGAAACGAATTAGAGAAACCAAGTGATCTTGTTAACAAAGTATGAATTTGAGTTTTGTTTTATTCTTTGCCAATTTTTTTTTCAATTCTTATTGCAAATAAACTTTCAGAAAGTTTAAATGTTTTGACTTGGAGTGAAACAATATAATGAATCCAGGCCTTAACAAAAAAAATTAAGGGTCGGTCAGCCAAAAATGGCTGTCATAAAAACCCAAACTTCCTACATTGATTTTTTTTTGCTGGCAAACATCAAAAAACCTTGAACTACTTAAAATTGAGGCGAATATTTTATTATGGTTGGATTGGAACACTTGAAGCGTTGGGGTTGTATTGCACTATCAGTCAATTGGCTTAATTTTGATTTGGAATTTTCAATTGGGGTTTTAGAGCAAATTATCAAAAACTAGTAAATTTTGCGTAAAGGCTGTCCAAAACTGAAATCAAGATAAGATGCCTGTCGTGTTTCAGATAATTAAGTGATCAATATTTGATGATATTTTTTGGAGATGGGTAGACGGAGCTCGAAGAGAAAACCAGCTCCGAAAAAGAAGATTTTGGGAACCCTGGAGACACAATTCACTTGTCCTTTTTGCAACCACACAAACTCATGTGATGTGAAAATGTAAGTTGTTGTGAACTTTAAAACATTTAATCTTACTTGATCCTACATGTTGTTTGGAAATAATTGTTTGATTGTAATAAGATACCGTTTTCTGGCCACAATTTTCACCTATGATCTAAATAATTGGTGATCATGCGTTGGTTAAGTTTCGTAAAATTTCATTCCATGTATGATTAGCTACTTTTGACAGTTTTCATCTGTTTATAAAAGTGGTAAATGTCAGTACGATACGATCATTTTCGACGGTTGATTTTGGAGTTGAGGTCTTGGCTTCGAATCTGTAATATAAAACCAACTACTTATTAGGGGATTACGAGCCACGTCATTCAGTCCTTAATTTATTTCAGGGATCGAATTAGGAATCTTGGATCTATCAAATGCAGAGTGTGCCTAGAAGATTACCAGACTACAATTAACTGTGAGTTTTCTTGATTTTTGGCCATGAACCTTCGCGAAAAGTAAAAATTTGATCTCCTCTTTTGTTCGTCTTAGATTTAGAGAATGAAAAGGATAGCCGTTTGCTATGCAGGTAGCACGGAATGTTCCAACCAAACTGGTTTAAGAAAAGAGTTTCAAAATTGTTTTTTTTTGTCAAAATTTCCTGATACTTTTTTAGAACGGGCGATTGAAGTACGTAAAGAATCAGAAAATGCTAAAATCAATTGTGATAATAGCTAAATTAAATTTAATTTGGTTTGCAGTAGATGACCCTTGGAGGTCAGCCTCTGATCAAGTAGTCTAATTTAGTGTGAAAACCGGAAAATATTCCAAGGAATGTTCCTCCACACGCCAACTTAAAAAAAACAGAAACTAAATCACTAATGAAAAGGCTTTAGTTTGATTCAGAGGCGGATTTAGGAGAGCGGACGCCCCCCCCCCCTCCCCTCAGGGATTTGACCCCCTGCCGACCCAAAGGGTCCCCCTTTGTACTATTTTGAGATATCCATATTTGGTTACTGGCCCTAAAAATTTTCTAAAGGCGCCTTCAGCGCCAATATATACTTAGTTTAAGGGGGGAGCGGGCGCCAAAAAAACGCGATTTTTTTTGTCAACATTTTCTAAAAAGTGCCTAAAAACATCTTTTCTGGCCTGTTTTTCAAAATATTGCCTGCGGCGCAGAAAATTTGACCAAAACAGGCAGGATCTTTTTAGTTCTTTGGGAGAGCTCGGAAAATCAATTCGGTCGACCTAAAAAAAATTTACTTGAAAGAGAACTATTTGAGGGCTTCATCTGCCTTATAAAAGCAAGGGAAATGAAAGGAGGGTTGCAGTGGAAGTAGCACATGATTTTACGACATTAGTCTTGAGAAAATTACCTAAAAGTTTTAAAATTGGTGTCGTTTTTTGTGCGTGGTGATTAGAAAATTATACAAACGCGTAGAAAGTTAGTGAATTAGGCGTAATCGACAACATTTGTCTTCAAAAACTGAATGACGAGCCAAAAAACGGCCAATTGAAAAGAAGTTTGTTTTCTAGTTTCTTGCACAAAATTTACCGTTGCGATAACCAATGTTATTGCAATCGCGTGCTAGACTTTCCCCATAAATAACTTTGTTCACGGGATTCATCTGTACTCCTGGTAGTACCTTGGTTCATCATGAGTTCAAGTTTCTTAATATATCCTGCACGCGTAGCCTGAAGGTAACGAATACGCTCGGGACGGTAAAGATCCTGGGTTCCAATGTGATCAGGACTTGTTCTGTTTTAAACGGGAATTTTTCAAATAAAATTGTTGGCCTAATGTATGTCAATTTTGTTTTGTTGGCTTAGTTGACACATTTTTGAATGTTTTTTTTTGCTGTACCCAATTTTAGTGTACTTGATTTATTTTTTTTCCCTGTAGTTTGTAGTTTTTTTTCTTTTAGTGTAGTAGCATTCTTATAATCAGGCCGAATCGAAATTTTATTTTCATTTTTATTACTTTTTTTTGTCTGTTTTCTCTTTAATCGGTTGCGGCATCTTATTGCGTGGTTTGATGTGGAAAAAAGTTTCGTATGCGTTGGTGTTCTGAGGGGAAGAGGTGTTTTTAATATTGTTTCAGAAGTGTTTGCACTTTTTTCGACACAAAGGGGTTCTGGTTCTGCTGAGGTATTTTCGGTTATGTTACCGCGTGGTAAGTTTTTTATGACTATGATGCTTAATTCGCGTTCTGTTAACTGGGTAAGTTTTTTGAAAACAATCTTCATTCATTTTGATAGATCCAGTTCTATGCATCGTTATTAGCGTTGCGATAAGCAATGATATTGCAATCGGGCAGTAGACATTTTTTCCGGAAAGCAATTTTGTCCACAAGATCACATCTAGAAAATCTGTTCCAGTGGATTTTCACTTTTAGATGTAAATATCATTTTTCATCATCTGATACTAGTTCTCATCAACCCAATTTGAAAGTTCTCTAATTGAAAGATCTGTAATTTGTCATTTTACCACGTCTGACTTTGAATAACTTTTTTTTCGGCTAAATAAGAGATGGCCAAGTATGTGGCTCCAAGTTTAAGTTTTCGAATGTTCAATTTCAACTCCACTTGTAACTTTTTGGACGAATTTTATTACATTTAAACACGAAAAAAAAACATTTTCGTGAAACGATTTTTTTTGGTTTTCTTTCTTCAACGGCAACAATGTTACTTAAGCATGACAATATAGTTTTTTCTTCAACGGCAACAACGCTAGCAGTCCTCTTTGATAGTTCTTGAGTCTCTTGCTGTTTTTTTTCTTGTACTTGTTGTATCGCAAGTGTTACGAAGCTCAGATTCGCCTCTGTATTGTAATTTATTTTAACAAAATCCTATTTTTTGCTGGGGAAGCATTAAATGAAAATTCCATTTTAGTAACTTTTTTAGTAAGAACTTTTTTATTAAGAAGTTTTTTCAGCCTAAAAGACCAAGTGAAATTTAAATTTCCATGAAACGAAGGTTACTTGATCGCATGTACTCACTCAAAATTGAACTAAAACCTAAGAAGTTGGTGTTTTTCTCGAAACGGGGACAGCTTTTTGAGAAAAGGTTTTAAGGTCGTTCGAAACTCTTGGAAGGGGCTTCAATATGATTGATCTTTCGACCTCGACCATTGCAATGATTATTGTGGTTCCTTTTTTTGCGTGGAGAAAAAAAAAGACTGAAAGACGACCAAATACAAAGTTTCTACCCATTTTCAATCGTCTGAACAAAAAGACAAGGTCTTCTTTGAACAAAATTGCTTCTGTTGATAATGCAATTTTTCAGAAAACGTTTTTGGTTAAAATGTGATGAATATTTTCCCATAAGCATGGTTATGCTACGACTTCTCTAGCCGTAGTCGCTCATTTTATTGCAACGTTTCAAAACTGTTTTTCTTGGGATATTTGAACAGCATGAGCTATATTGGCATAAAATAACAACGATAGCCGGTTACTGTGGAAGTAGCACAATGTTCCGACCATAGTCTTTAAAAACCTACCAAGAATTTGTTTTGGAATTAGTGTAGCTTTTTCTGCTTCGTGTGATAAAAGGATCTGACGTACAAGTATAATATAAGCATGTTAGACAGTCATAGTAACATAGGCAAACTGGACAATAGTTTTTGAAGAAAAATGATTGGAAAAACAAAAACATAAAGAACTTCAATTTTTTTTCAATTTTTGCTGAAATTTTATGAATTTTTGAAGAATTTGATTACCAAAATGTCTTTAAACATCTCCACAAACTAATTTTCTTTGAGGAAAGTTAAAGTAAAGCATTACTAACCTATTGTAAACGGCCTAAATTAAGTGTAAATAAGCCTGCTCGCTGACTTTCGTCTCTCGAAGTTAGACGAAAAATCAAAAATTTCAAACCGGTTTTTCTCGACACTAGAAATTTTTTTTGGAATTTTTAAATGTTCAAATCATGACCGAAAAAGCTTTAGTATGATATATCACTCAACCCAGTCCGATGATTATTTGATACCTGATTTTGCGTGAGAAAAAACTTAACTAAAACACACCCGAATACTAAGTTCCTCCCCATATTCAACCTAAAATTTTCAGCCTAAAAGACCAAGTGAAATTTAAATTTCCATGAAACGAAGGTTACTTGATCGCCTGTACTCACTCAAAATTGAACTAAAACCTAGGAAATTGGTGTTTTTCTCAAAACGGGGACAGCTTTTTGAGAAAAGTTTTAAGGTCGTTCGAAACTCTTGGAAGGGGCTTCAATATGATTGATCTTTCGACCTCGACCATTGCAATGGTTATTGTGGTTCCTGATTTTGCGTGGAGAAAAAAAGAAAATACTGAAAGACGACCAAATACGAAGTTTCTACCCATTTTCAATCGTCTGAACAAAAAGACAAGGTCTTCTTTGAACAAAATTGCTTCTGTTGATAATGCAATTTTTCAGAAAACGTTTTTGGTTAAAATGTGATGAATATTTTCCCATAAGCATGGTTATGCTACGACTTCTCTAGCCGTAGTCGCTCATTTTTTTGCAACGTTTCAAAACTGTTTTTCTTGGGATATTTGAACAGCATGAGCTATATTGGCATAAAATAACAACGATAGCCGGTTACTGTGGAAGTAGCACAATGTTCCGACCATAGTCTTTAAAAACCTACCAAGAATTTGTTTTGGAATTAGTGTAGCTTTTTCTGCTTCGTGTGATAAAAGGATCTGACGTACAAGTATAATATAAGCATGTTAGACAGTCATAGTAACATAGGCAAACTGGACAATAGTTTTTGAAGAAAAATGATTGGAAAAACAAAAACATAAAGAACTTCAATTTTTTTTCAATTTTTGCTGAAATTTTATGAATTTTTGAAGAATTTGATTACCAAAATGTCTTTAAACATCTCCACAAACTAATTTTCTTTGAGGAAAGTTAAAGTAAAGCATTACTAACCTATTGTAAACGGCCTAAATTAAGTGTAAATAAGCCTGCTCGCTGACTTTCGTCTCTCGAAGTTAGACGAAAAATCAAAAATTTCAAACCGGTTTTTCTCGACACTAGAAATTTTTTTTGGAATTTTTAAATGTTCAAATCATGACCGAAAAAGCTTTAGTATGATATATCACTCAACCCAGTCCGATGATTATTTGATACCTGATTTTGCGTGAGAAAAAACTTAACTAAAACACACCCGAATACTAAGTTCCTCCCCATATTCAACCTAAAATTTTCAGCCTAAAAGACCAAGTGAAATTTAAATTTCCATGAAACGAAGGTTACTTGATCGCCTGTACTCACTCAAAATTGAACTAAAACCTAGGAAATTGGTGTTTTTCTCAAAACGGGGACAGCTTTTTGAGAAAAGTTTTAAGGTCGTTCGAAACTCTTGGAAGGGGCTTCAATATGATTGATCTTTCGACCTCGACCATTGCAATGGTTATTGTGGTTCCTGATTTTGCGTGGAGAAAAAAAGCAAATACTGAAAGACGACCAAATACGAAGTTTCTACCCATTTTCAATCGTCTGAACAAAAAGACAAGGTCTTCTTTGAACAAAATTGCTTCTGTTGATAATGCAATTTTTCAGAAAACGTTTTTGGTTAAAATGTGATGAATATTTTCCCATAAGCATGGTTATGCTACGACTTCTCTAGCCGTAGTCGCTCATTTTATTGCAACGTTTCAAAACTGTTTTTCTTGGGATATTTGAACAGCATGAGCTATATTGGCATAAAATAACAACGATAGCCGGTTACTGTGGAAGTAGCACAATGTTCCGACCATAGTCTTTAAAAACCTACCAAGAATTTGTTTTGGAATTAGTGTAGCTTTTTCTGCTTCGTGTGATAAAAGGATCTGACGTACAAGTATAATATAAGCATGTTAGACAGTCATAGTAACATAGGCAAACTGGACAATAGTTTTTGAAGAAAAATGATTGGAAAAACAAAAACATAAAGAACTTCAATTTTTTTTCAATTTTTGCTGAAATTTTATGAATTTTTGAAGAATTTGATTACCAAAATGTCTTTAAACATCTCCACAAACTAATTTTCTTTGAGGAAAGTTAAAGTAAAGCATTACTAACCTATTGTAAACGGCCTAAATTAAGTGTAAATAAGCCTGCTCGCTGACTTTCGTCTCTCGAAGTTAGACGAAAAATCAAAAATTTCAAACCGGTTTTTCTCGACACTAGAAATTTTTTTTGGAATTTTTAAATGTTCAAATCATGACCGAAAAAGCTTTAGTATGATATATCACTCAACCCAGTCCGATGATTATTTGATACCTGATTTTGCGTGAGAAAAAACTTAACTAAAACACACCCGAATACTAAGTTCCTCCCCATATTCAACCTAAAATTTTCAGCCTAAAAGTAGCTATATTGGCATAAAATAACAACGATAGCCGGTTACTGTGGAAGTAGCACAATGTTCCGACCATAGTCTTTAAAAACCTACCAAGAATTTGTTTTGGAATTAGTGTAGCTTTTTCTGCTTCGTGTGATAAAAGGATCTGACGTAAAAGTATTATATAAGCATGTTAGACAGTCATAGTAACATAGGCAAACTGGACAATAGTTTTTGAAGAAAATGATTAGAAAAACAAAAACATAAACAACTTCAATTTTTTTTCTTCAATTTTTGCTGAAATTTTATGAATTTTTGAAGAATTTGATTACCAAAATATCTTTAAACATCTCCACAAACTAATTTTCTTTGAGGAAAGTTAAAGTAAAGCATTACTAACCTATTGTAAACGGCATAAATTAAGTGTAAATAAGCCTGCTCGCTGACTTTCGTCTCTCGAAGTTAGACGAAAAATCAAAAATTTCAAACCAGTTTTTCACGACACTAGAAAATTTTTTTTGGAATTTTTAAATATTCAAATCATGACCGAGAGAGCTTTAATATGATATATCACTCAACCCAGTCCGATGATTATTTGATACCTGATTTTGCGTGACAAAAAACTTAACTAAAACACACCCGAATACTAAGTTCCTCCCCATATTCAATGGTCGAAGAAAAATGCATTCCTTTTTGCGGCCTAGTATGTATTAGGTAAGAGTAGGTGGCTCTGACCAAATGGTTTTGTAGTTAAGTGTTTGACTATGAAGTCATAGGGCGTTGGTTTGATCTCTGATGTTCAAATTTTTTTATGGCTTATATTTTTTTTTTTGCTGGTTCATGCGTTGTTTATCTTCACCTTTGTGTAAATCAGCTTTTGATGTGCGATCTTTATGTTGTGTGATTTTTCAGACCTCTCGGAACCCGCAGATGTTTACTCGGATTGGATCGATGCATGCGAAGAGGCCAACAACTAGAAAAAACTGCCATCATATCGATCACTTTTTCCAGCCTAATGTGCCATGTCTGAAGTTAAGTCGGCTCAGTGGAAAGAATTTCAAAAGTTGTTTCTACCTAATTTATCATGCGACGATTGTACAATTTGGTCTCGAGCTTTGATTGCTGTAATAGAAATTTGTTTTTGGTCTCATTTTGTTGTGTTTTATCTACTAGTCTTTGATTTTCTAAAGAAATTTATAATAAAAGTATTGTTTTATTTTCTGAAAGCCCGTTCAGGTGAAGGAAAAATTGAGAAAAATGATGAAGAAATTTAAAAAACCCAAAATTACGAATCTATCTCTCACTTTAATCCCTTCAATAACTGGCTGAAGCGCGTTTTATTTCAGCTAATACTGTTTTGTTATGTGTTCTGGTTTTTAGATTTAGTTATGAACCCTAATTTAAGCAATAGTAAAACTGCAGTGCATTACCTTTTCATTCCAATCGGAACCGAAGTTTCAGCCAAATTCAGAGGGGCTTTTTGTGAAGCCAAGGTATCCGAATGTACGCAAAAACTGAAATATAAAGCTTACATCAGCTCAACGAACGAGTATGTCACATGTGAAATTGAAGACATAGAACTAGTGAAGCCGCCTTTGCTAACTTCATTTGTTCTTCCAAATTATATCGAAGACCATGAAGTTTGTCCTGTTGATTCAATTGTCAAAGTGAAATCATCGGGCTTAGATGGTGTGGTGAAAAAACTAATAGATGCTTCAATGTACACAGTTATTTTTGACGATGCTGACCAATCGCAATTTAAACGTAAAGCAATCAAGTTAAAAGGTCAAAAGTATTTCAAGGATGAAGAAAACTTGAACACGATGCCCCTGATTAAGCCCGAAAACTTCAGCAGTCCTGCGGTTCTCAATGTTAGCTGCAGTTCTTCAACTGGAGAAGAAAGCGTCGAAGGAACACCGCGGCCTCAATCCAGAAGGTCAAGAGGCCAAAAGGATTCGGATGATTTGGTGGGACCGATGCTGGCAACCTTTTGCTCCACTTCGGAAAGTGAGTCATGCTTGGACGAAGAGGACGAGAATTTTAATGCAGTATCGGTTGCCTATGTCAGGCAGTGGATATTTGACCATCTAGATCAGGTGTGTTTCTAATATTTTGAAGACTCGCAGCAAAACTTTTCTTTTCTATTGGAGGTAATTTTTAAATGTTGCTCTGTGAGTGCACATCATAACAAGGATAGCCGGTTTTTGTGCAAGTAGCACAGAATGTTCCGACCAGAGTCTTATAAAATACAAAAAAAAAAGTTTTTTTTTTCAAGTAAGTGTTTTTTTTCTGCGTGTATGATGAAAAGATCTGAAAAAATAGAACTTTGGCATATTTGACATTGATAGTAAATAGGGAAATTGGGAAACAGTTTTTGTAGAAAAATGACTAGAAAAAGGAAAAAAAAAACGTTCAAAAAATTCAATACTAATCTAGTAAAACTAAGTTTCCATGCCTTAAATTAAGCATAAATAAGCTTTTGTAAGCCTGCTTAGCCTCTTCTTGTTTGCTTGAAATTAGACCAAAAATCAAAAAATTCAAACGGTTTTTTCTCGACGCTGAAAATTTTTTTTCAAAATGTTTTTATCGTTCGAATGGCGAATGAAACATTTTAATATGATAGATCAATCAACCCAGTCCGATGGTTTTTTGTGGTACTTGATTTTGCGTGAAGAACAAAAAAAGAAAATAAGCTATTGCAATTAATAACTACCTGACTAATTAGCTCGAAATTAGCCCAAAAATCATAAACTTTGAACCGGTTTTTCTCGACACTGTGAAAAGTTTTTCGAAGTTTTTAGATGTCATTTGAATTACGACTGAAAGGGCCTTAATATGATATATCACTCAACCCTGCCCGATGATTATTTGTGGTAGCTGATTTTGCGTGGAAAACTATAAAAAACTAAAGCTAGCTTTTTAGCTTTAAGGTATCATGGATTTGTAGCGTAGAGGTAGGGAAGGAGACCCGCAACAAAATAAGAGGGTTCGAACCTGGGCAGTGTCGGATGTTTTAAATGAACTTTTAAAAACGGGTTGAATATTGAAACGTACGTTGTGTGACTTGTGTTGCTACGTGGCCCTTAATTTTTAATTTAATATTATAGGTAGTTTGGATTGAAAAGAACAAGGGGCTCAACTTTCCAGGCCTTGTCATTGATCCCTGGGAAGCCGACAAGAAACGAGACGCCGACAATCACGTTGTCGTACGGTCATTCCGAGACAATCGACTCCACAGCATACCATTCAAGTACGTAGAGGACTTCGACCGAAGCATGCGTTCGGATAAACCTCAATTACAAGCGGCCATTGATCAAGCGAATGCATATCTTGTAGACAATGTGTTACCAAAAGGCTGGATTATAACTTACTGGCAGATATACAGAGATATCGTCGAGTATCTACAGGACGATAAAGTTCCTCAACTTGTAACTTCGGGTCAGTTTTCAATCGAAATCGGTCGTCTCTTGTTTGCAGTTTGGCGACTCGGAGGCTTTGAGATAGTGACGCAACTGAAGTCGTGGCCGAGCGTATACAAGTGTGTGTCTAGAACGAGTCAAAACTGGGACACGAGTCCGTCAACTGTGTTCCTTTCTAAAATGAAGTCAGAATACAAGAAGTACCTCTTGAAGTATGAGCCAGTGTTTGAGTCTCGGCTGGTGAATAATGAGGATAACCCCCTTCCTCCCATCTTCAGGCCGGACAAAAGTCAGGTGAAGGGCAAAAGTGCCACCGAGTTGGAGATAAAAACAGAACCAATAAGCGCAGTGTCTGCTTCCATGTCAGACGTCTTAGCTGACGTGCAGAATGTGTCCTTAAGAAGGTGAGATTGATTTTAATTGTCAATGAACGTAGTGAAGAAACTCATATAAGTTGTGTTTTTTTCCATATTTCGAAAAGGTCTCGAAGTTTTGCACGCTTAATTTTGATTTTTCGCGGAACACAAAAAATTCCGTGTGACCCAGTGTCATCCATAAAAAAAGTGAATTTCAAAAAATTTTATCGTGATTATGCTTGCGGTAATGAAAAGTTATCAAATCAGAAGATAGACGCTTTTCAAGTTAACATCTAGTTAAGCAAAATCACCTAATCATTCGTCGTAATATGCTCGATTTCTTGAAAGATTCAAATTTCACGTATGGTTGCTATTACTGTTTTAACTATCCATGCTGTTTTAACTGTTGGAGATATTTAATTGTAGAACCGTTGAATGTCTCCTTATTTTCCACAGCAACGTCTCTTCTTCTGATTTTAACCTTTTTTTGTTTAAAGTCAGTTATCTCTTCTTGTAATCTAGAAACTTAGCAGCTCTGATTTTATTTTTAGCGCTTAAAAATGTATTCGGCTCAAATGGTTTCGGCCAAGATAAGCGGTTTAGGGTTAGAATTGTTGTTACTTTTTCGTGTTTATCACGCGGAAGCAAAGATCGGAGCGTTGTCTTAAATTATCTCAAAGGTTTTTTCACTCGCTTGATTCATCAGCCTAGATGAAAACATTGAATGAGAATAAACCAGCCGAATTATAAGTCAGACGAAACGCACAGACTATTAGAACTTACCGTAAGATATTGTTCCGACCATTGAAAATGGGGAAGAACTTTGTATTCGGGTGGGTTTTCGTTTATTCTTTTATTTTGTTTTCCATGCAAAATAGGGTACCAAAAATAATTATCGGTCCGGTTTGATTGATTCATCTTTTTGAAGCCTTTTCAGTCGTAATTCGAACGTTTAAAAATTCTCTGAGTGTCGAGAAAAACCGGTTTGAAATTTTTCATTTATTGTCGGTTTTGGAGCGAGTAAAGCGATCAAGTAACGTTCGTTATATATAAAAATTACCAATTTAGGCTGAAAATTACTTGATTCAGCGACGTACAACAAAAGACACTATTTGCAAGAATAAAAGTTTTTTTTTCTCAAGACTGTTGTCCCATCATTCTGTGCTAATTGCACAGCAGCCGGCTATCCTTGTTTCTCTTAGTATCTGGTAGCTGGTTTTCACTTCAGCTGGTTTGTATATCACCGAAAACAAATTTCGAATTAAAATTTCTCGTTAAAGTTTCTAGTTACATTTACCAGTTGCAAAATTAAATATTGATTGTTGTTTCAGAGTCGACGATACAGTTCATGTTAATTTCGAAGACGGCAAAATCTACCCGGCAAAAATTTTGAAAGTTGATACAACCAGGTCAATTGAATCTGGAATTTACTACATTCACTATAGAAATTGGAATTCTCGCCACGACCAGTGGATTTCTGAAGACATGATTGCCGATTCCACCAACTTAGACGAAAGTTTATTGAACGAAGTCAAGAAGGAATCTCGCAGAGAAGCAAATGGGTCTAAAATGTCTCCACAAGGTGGAAAGACGGGCGAATGGCCGAAACTCGCCGATGGTAACGTAATAGGGGTAATGTCGCCCAATGCAGTGGCGCCCGTAGCTTTGGGAAGTTCGGGCTCATCTGCGATTGAAGGGGAGCCAAAATCGTCCCTGAGCAGAATGATTGCCGAGAAAAAGAGTCAAATTCTTCAGTCATCCTCAGATTCAAGTTAGTTGCATCACGATAAGAAAATACGAAACAATATGAATGTATTTCCTTCGCTTAAAACTGATTTTTTGTCATTTAAGAAAAAATAGCCTCTTTGCTCAGTGCCTTTATTTTTGCATTAATAAAACAAGGATAGCCGATCGCTGTACAAGTAGCTCAGATTGTTCCGACCATCTTTTCAGAAAAAAAAAACATTTCTGTTCTTCAGAAGAGTGTCTTTTTTGTACGCCGTGTGATGATACAACTGTACGAATGCGTAGAATTTTAGTAAAGTAGGCATAAACGAATTCAATGGCTTTCAAGAAATAAAATGCACTAAACATTTTGAATAGTTTAAAGATTTTTTTGCCAGTGAAGAGTTAAGTGAAGCTTCCAAAACTAGTTTTCCTTTTAGTGAAATCAAGTTTTTTAGCATAAATTTCTAATTTTCATATATAACCAACGTTACTCGATCGCTTTACTCAGTCGAAAGCAGACGAAAAATGAAAAATTTCACACCGGTTTTTCTCGACACTCGGGGAGAATTTTTTGGGAAGTTTTTAAATGCCGCTCGAATCACGACTGAAAGGGTTTCAATAAGATATATCAAACATAGCCAGTTGACAGTTGGAAAAGAGTAATGAGAGCAAAGAAGCTGAAAAAAACCGACTTGTTTTTAAAAATCTTCATTTTTTGAATTTCGAAGAAAAAATAGATGGCCTTAAAGCTCTTTGAGTTTGTAGAACAATTTATGATGGACACTTTCTGTTAAAATTAAGATTTTGAGAAAACTGGATCAATAGGTAAAACTTTCATTTAGCTGGGAAATCCGATAATTAATTTCCATTTTCGAACAATTTATGATGGACACTTTCTGTTAAAATTAAGATTTTGAGAAAACTGGATCAATAGGTAAAACTTTCATTTAGCTGGGAAATCTGATAATTAATTTCCATTTTCGAAATTAGAACTCGATCACGTTTTTCGTGACCTTTACAATTTTGGTATTCGATAGTTGAGTTTTCTTTCCTTTTAACAATAGAATTGCACTGATTTTAAAAAGAAATCACAAGTCAAACCGCGAAAAATCAAAACTGCGTGAACAAATTTTAAGACTTTTTCCTGAAAAAATCAAGAAAAAAATTGATGGAAATATTTTAATGTCGATCGAATCACGAATTGAAGGGCTCTAAGATGATGACCCTGTTTGATGTTTATTTGTGATTACTGATATTGCGTGAAAAACAAAAACAAGTTGAAAAAAAGTAAAAAACTAAAACACCCCAATACAAAGTTCTCCCTATTCTCAATGGTAGGACCAACAAGTATGTTTTTAGGCGCTAGAACACCAGATGGAATTGGAGCAGTCAAATCGAAGTCTCCAATTTTACCCCTAGGCAGCGAGCTGTCAGGAAAACGATCTCGCAGCGTTTCGTCGAGCTCGGACGAAGATTCGGCAGCAAAAGTTGTAAGGACTCCTCGGAAATTACGAAGAAAAGCAAATTCTCGCAGCAGTTTGAACGAATCCCCTCAATTCAATGCTACGCTTGATGAAGAGCAAACAAGTTGGGGAAAAAATCCCGAAAAAGTTTGCAGTCGCAAACGAACTGTATCAACCGCAGAAGTATCAAACAAGGAATATTTGACTGAGTTTGCGAACCAAAGAACTGTGGGGCGATCACCACCTAAAAGGAGAAGAGTTGTGAAACGGAGCTCCCTGTCCGAAAGTGGCAAGCAATCTAAAGGATTCTCAGCTTCGCCCAAAAAGTTTTTGCGGAGTGTGAGTCAAACTCAATGTGCGGATGAATCAGCGGCAGATTTGGATGGCGAAACAGCTGATCTTTTAAGGAAGCAAGAGGATAATGACGTTGAATGTGAGACAATTGATGTAGAATGTGAGACGAATGACGAAGGATTTAGCGCAGACGAAGAATGCGAAAGTGATGATACAATCGACATGAATAAAATCCAAGACCAAAATTTGGACGAATTTCAAAATCATGAACAAAATCTATCCGCTGAAATTTCTTCAAAACCGACAGATTTGAATCCTGGATTTGGATTAGAAACAGTATCTCCTCTTAAAGAGAAAAATGGGGGAAAAGAATCGTATAATTACTGTGTTACTCAAGAAGAGTGGAATAATTTTGATACTTCGAAAAGTAGTCCAATTTTGCCCGAAGTTACAATTGATACAAATTTAGTTGCAAAAGCGAATTTAAGTATGGATTCAACGGATGATACAGTACCTTTCTCGTCACCGGCGGCCGCTGAAAATGTGACTAGTCCAGTTAAGAAAAGATCAGATTGTGGTAGGAACGATCAATATGGCGGAACACCTGGAGTGCCTGGAAGAAAAATGAAACGGAATGGGAAAAGCGGACAGTTTAGACACGGATTCTTCATCTCAGATGCAGAAGATAGCGGAACAGAAGAAGGTACGAAAGATTTCAAGTTGTTTGAAGAGGAAGAAAAATATCTGCAGACGTATCTGAACTCAATTTACAAAATAGAAAATGAGTGTGAGAAGTTAATGGACGTTAGCGTGCTAGATGAAATAGCGGATGTGGATGAGAGAATTTTACTGGCTGAGCAGCAAATGAATTTGATTCAAAAGAGGTACAAACAATTGTACCGGGAAATGGAAAAGTTGGATAATTTAAAGCGACGAATCAGAAGGAAAAAGAAAACTCAGCAGAACTCTTTCACTGACCACGCTAATAAATCGAAGCTCGTGTCGGCTACTAAACAAAAGGCGCCGACGATAAAAGAGGAGAGTGGCACTTCTGTAGTTATGGAGGCTAAAGCTGAGAAGGCTAGCGAAGTGGGAACTAACTGGAAGATTGAAAATGAAGTGAAAAGAGAATCTCCGGATCTGGGTTCACCGAGTGGCTGAATCACAAAATAAAACTAATGGATTAATTAGTTTTTTTTTAAATTTTAGTCAGAAAATTTTTTATTGATCAAAGCTTTCAACACGTTTTTCGAAATCAATAGGGGTAATAGTGGGTTCTCGAATTTAAAGTTTTTTTTTGAATGATTAGAGAGCTAAAGCGATCTGATTTTGCGAACCCTCTCAAAAAAAAACTGACTCATGCCCGTGAAAGTTTTCTTCAAGAAAAAAAGCACCAAAAAGCCGTTGTTACATGGAAGGGCCTCGAGTTGTTCGATTTAAAAAAAAACTATCGCTTTTTCTATATTTTAAGTGATTCGAAGAACGGCTTAACTTCGGCGTCTAAGTTTTCCCTGGGCATTGTTTGCTTAAAAATGTTTTCGTTTCTAATATAGTCGGTTATTCCGGGCTTGCAGCTCTTAAGCTAATTCAGATTATTCAAAATTTTTACCTAATAAACAGTTTAGTCGACTTGAATTTTTTTTAATCAAAAAAAGTTTCAAGTTTTATTTTTTCAATTTATGTGGTTGATAGCAGGTTGTCGGCACAGCAATGGGCTATGGTTAATGTTTCGATTATTGAGAATTTAGAGAAAATTTGAATTCGGGTGTTTTCTTTTTTTCTTCTTTTTTGGTTTTCCGAAAAATCCGGTACGTACCACATAATCATTGGAATGGGTCGAGTTATATATCATATAAACCCCTTTTAATCGTGAATTGAAGGACGATTCAAAACGCCCCGATGTCAAGAGAAACTGGTTTGACTTTTAAAATTTTTTTGTCAAATTCCGGACGAGTAAAGTGATCGAGTAACATTCGTTATATGATAACTGGTTCATAAGACAAAGAAAAGATGTTTTACTACAAGTAAAACTAGATTTGGAAGCTAAATTTAGCGCTTCTGAGGCAATAAAAATTTACTGAAAACTTAATGAAGTCATTTGTTGACAGTTATGTCCAATTCACTAACTTGTATTGTTACCTCATCAGACCAAATTGAAGAGAAAAAAACCACTTTTGTAGTTTTATGGATGTGGTGGACCATCTGTGCTTCCTAATTTCCTGTTACTGATTTATACTCAGATGAATTAAGTATAAAAACATCAGTAAGATAGAGTGGACAGCTAAGGAACCAGGTCTGTCTTGAACTTGAATAAAATCAGTTAACGTACAACAGATAAGAAGTTTCAGCTACAAAAGTAATCAGGCTGAAGGCAACGAAAAAAAAGATCTAGCAAAATGGGGAAAGATCACTTGAAAGTTGGTATGTTTGTAGGAATGGAGAATTTCACGCTCTATGGCTGACTGTGTCAATTTCGGAAAAATTCAAAATTGTCATTTTTCAAGTAGTATTTAGGTGAATTTCGTTTCAGGTAGAAGTTGTTGTTTTAAATAAATTTTAAGTTCTGAAAATATTTATACATTCAAATAAATTTTTTCAGAACTTATTACCCTTGCGATAAGCAAGGGTATTGCAATTTGGTACAGGACTTTTTGTTTTCCCCTAAATAAGTTAAGGCACAGGATCTCCACTTCTAGAGGATCTCTTCTGACATGCTCGTTTTCCTTTAAATTCAAATAAAAGTACTAAGTAGTTACAAGTAGTTACTTAATTAGTAATTAGTTCAAGCCCGTTTCAGATAAAAAAAATAATATTTTGAAAAAATTAAGTTTCTCTCGGTTCATTTTCCGTTTTTTAAAACGCATTCTTCATCTGGTTTACCATTACTTTTCTATTAGCTTACTTTTTGAAGCATGGGTTTTGTTCCAGTTTTTTACCGTGACTGAAACTTACAACTTTATAAATTTACCACGTCTGATTTTGAGTTTGTTTTCATTTTTTAATTTTTTTAAATATTCAAACAGCTTCAGTTTATGTTATATCGACTTAGTCAACCTATTTTGCGTAATTTTGAGGGCAAAATGTATCTGTTTGGGATTATGTGTTTCAGTTGGAATGGGTCTTGAAAACTTCAAATTTTTTGTGACAACAGTTTTGTTTTCGGCTCAACAGGATTCGACCCATAGTTTTTCGCATTTTTTGCCGCTCGGTAATTGTTTTCCATTTTTAATGGCTGTTTCTGAACTTCATACGATACAAATATGAGGTTTTTGTAGCTGTAATTTTTCATTTGTCAAGTTATTTTTTCTAGTACTTTTTCCCTCAATTTTTCAGAACTTTATTTTTGACTTTGTCTTTTTTTCATTCACTATTTTTAACGCAATGTCCGTTTTGCATCGCAAGTGTAGTGAAGCTCCGCTTTGCCTCTGTGTTGAAAGTTTTGTAAATGATTTATGAAGTCTGATTTTGAAAAATTTTTTGTTTCGTTTTTTCTTAACGTTTTCGGCTTACGATATAGCGGTTTATTCGATGTATTTTGCATTGTTTCGGGAGCAAAAATTGTCTCATGTGTTTCTGTATTTCAGTGCAGACGGGTCGTAAAAACTTTTAAAACTTAAAAACCTCAAATTTTGTTTTCTGCTGAACAAGGGTTTTTCAAATTTTGTCGCCTTTGTGGCAACTCTGTAGATGATTCCCACTTTTTCAAATATGTTTCTAAGCATCGTCTAATATAAAATTGAAATAGTTGTAGATTTAGTGTTTTTAGAGTTTTAAAATAACTTTTTCAAGTTATTTTTTTTTGAATAAATTTTTTTGAATAAATCCAACTTTTTTCTTTTTTCCATTATTGGTTCTTTACCCTTGCGATACGCAAGGGTATTTCAACCGGGTACTAGACTTTTTTTCTCGTAAACATTTTTGTCCACAACTTTGGATCACTTCTAGAGGATCTTCTTTTCTTCAGTAGGATCTTCCCTTGCTTCACTTTTATCTCATTAAGTAGTAGTTAGTTTCGTAGTCCGTTTGTTGAGCCCTTTTTAGGTAGTAATTATCTTTTCAAAAAAATTTTTTTTCGGATTAGGGGTTTTCGTCCTAGTTTCTGTCGGTACATTTTTCGTTTTTTTAAACGTCATTTTTTAATCTGGCTTGATTTTTTCTAAACTTTCCAAAGCATTGTTTTTTTTTCAATTTAAATAGTTTTTACTATAACTGAAACTTCACAAATTGTAAATTTACCATGTCTGGCTGAGTTTTTTCATTTGTTTCCGTTTTTTTTTCAAACAGTTTCAGTTTATGTTATATCGACTTGTCAACTTATTTTGCGTATTTCGAGGTCAAAATATATCCGTTTGGGACTATGTGTTTTAGTTTCGATGGGTCATTAAAAGTGTAAATTTTCAGAAATTTTTCATAATAAAAGTTCTGTTTTCGGCTCAACAGGTTTCGACCCAAAGCTCCGACAGGTATTGTTTATTATTATTAACCCCAGGCCCAGCTCCCGCCTTTCAACGTTTGACCTTTTATTCCGTGGGGGAGATGTCATCAATTCGCCGCAGAGAAGGATGACACTGGGACCCCTCCAACCATGACCGAAGCGGATTTCGAATCCACGACCTTTGTGTTAAAGGACGTGCGTCTTATTCATGGCTAAGACAGGTCTAAAGTTCCGATAGGTCGCCTTTGTTGTCGCCTGGTAAATGGTTTCCAATTTTAAGGGAGGTTTCTGTATTTTTTTTTTTTGGTTTCTCTATTTGTTTTGGTTTCTGTAGTTTTTTTCATTCGCTATTTTGTAGGGCAATGTTTGTTTGCATCGCAAGTGTTGCGAAGCTCGGCTTCGCCTCTGTGTTACAATTTTCAGTTTCCTTCTGCCTTTGCCTAGAGGTAACTTGATTGCCTCAGCACTGTGTAGTCCGGTGTTCCAGTCAAGGCCGGACCTTGTTTTTTTCAGTATGTACGCAATTGAAAGCATTTTTGGCCTAATGTTAATCTGTTCATAATCTGTCGGCTTAGTTTGCTTGTCACTGTTTTTTGTACTTTTTTGTTTTTGGCTCTAGGCATCTACTTACATTGTGTCGGCTTAGCAGCCGCTCAATAATTACGAAAAGCTTATTTAATGCTGGTAGTTGTGTTTTTTTTCTGTTTTTCGGAAATTGGATTTTTCATATATTCCAAAACCTTTTTTCGACTTTGTTTCCGTTTTCTGTTAACCGTTTTTTGTTTCTCGTTTTCTGTTAACCGTTTTTTGTTTCTCGTTTTCTGTTAACTAGCTGGCAGTCGAAATTGCTCAGGCTGTGGTGGACCTGAAGCTAGAGGTCAAGTAAGAGCTCGTTCTCACTAACTATCATTGCCATGGTAGGGGATCTATTTTACGATCTGAATCTCTCGAAGTGAACGTCTTACCACTATGATGAGTGCCTCTTAATTTTTTTGTATCGTTTTGGTGTAAATATAACTTCTTGCGGTAGTTAGTGGAAATTAAGGAATTGCCGTAATTTCTGCTCATGAAACATGACTCAAACATTAAAGAATATTTTTAGATAAATCTAAGGATGTTCACAGACAATGAACTCATGGTTCGCAAGAGGGCATACGTCACAATCTACCAACAGGCAGTGTCGCCATGTGGCAGATATATGGCAGTGTGCGATTCCTATGGACTAGTGTCTGTGTTTCATTTGTCTGCTGCAGTCTCTGTAAACACAGTCGAAGATACCAGGAAGCCTCTGTTCTGTTTTGAAGCGTATGATGACACTCCCTGTTACACTATGATAACTGGTGAGAACTATCAATTAGAAGGTTTCATAACTGAAGTAGCCCGTCTAGAGAATTTTTTCACTGCCGTTATGTGAGATTCGCGCATTGGCAGTATTCAAAGCATAATTGAATGACTTGGATGTTTCGAATCTTAAATTGAAGTTTTTTCAAATTGTTTTGCGTGTATGTATAATGGTTTGTTTACCTTTGCGAGAAGCAAGGCTGTTGCAGCCGGGTTCTAGATTTTTGTCCCGTAAACAACTTTGTTCACAAAATTTTGTAGATGTGTTTTTTTCATCTGGCGTAGAGATAACACACCTGATTGGAGGACAAAGGCTTGTGGTTAGAATCCAGTCGTGTCCTATTTTTTTAAACAAGAAATTTTCTACTATGGAGTTTTGTCCGTCTGTTTATTTTGTCGGCTTAGTTCGCGTAGCACGTACTATTTTTGAAGGTACAGCTTTTTTCCAATTTCCTGAATGCCATGTCTAAATTCCCATTGGTGGAGGTAATTTAGTTTTAAGATTTTTTGCGGAATTGTTCCATTTTTTCAATTTATACTTTCAGTTTTTGTTCTGTTCATTAATATGCAGTGAGTGATAACTTATGCAAATATTGTGCTTGCGATTAGCAAGCGTTATCAATTCTAAACTTAATGTTTGTAAACAATTTGACCAACAAAATCACCTAATTGTTTTTCAAATCTACTGAGTTATAACCGAGGTGGTTAACTCATAGAGTAATTTCGGATAGGGTACACCGTCTGCTCGTCACGCTATCTTATTTTTGGCCGGATAGATTCGTGCAACTTCTTAGTCTAATACCGATCCTAATCTTACTCTTATACTTTCTAGTCTCAGGGTGTTTAACTAGTCTCTGCTAGGCTCAATAGATCTAGGGTATACTGGTTTGTTGCAGCTGCTGAAGTTCTCTTGGAGAGACAACTAATTTCTAAGTTAAATTCAAATCTCTCTGGTGCTGAAATTACAAGTAATTTCAGCACTTACAAATAAGTGGGTTGTTAGTTACATGGATCATGATTGGTTAATATTAAATACTTTACAGTGGTAAAATATCTAATTTATCCAATCATAAAATATAGTTTAGATCAGGTTCCACCCATCCGGGTTTTACAGAGTTTTTTAGAATTATCTTTCTGCAATTCAAAGGATGGATGATGAACGTTGGTATTTGGCGAACATCGTATTCTTGTCCGGTTCCTCTTGTTAGAGAAGTTCCAGGACGCTGGAGTTAGGGGCATCAATCGTTGTGTCTTCTTGTGACAACGACTGTGTTTCCCAACGAAATCAATCTGATTTCAAAATGGTTTGCTATGACGGGTTTTTCTGTATTATGTAGAGAACTTGTTTTGTGTTCAACCTCGTCTGGGAATGGCGTGGAGATTGTGCGTGGAAGGGATACCTTGTAACTCGGATCTGTACGTATACTTGAACATCGAGGTGGTCATTGGTCTAGTTCAATGAAGTCATTTTCTGCGAAGTCAAGTCGTACTCTAAATCCTTTGAGTTGTGATTGTGGACGGCATATCGGTTGTGGTTAGCCATTCTTGTTCGAGTGTAGTGGGGTCATTTTGTCTTTGGATGTTCGTCTTTGTTGTTGTGTGTTGATCTATATACTGCAAGGTATGATTTAAATTTTATAAAATTTTTATTAGTTCAGTTTTTTAATTATGGATTTAGTTAGTTGTTTTCACAAAACATTTTGTTTTATTTCGGTTATTTTGAAGAGTTACTCACCCTTGAGTACCTCTTATTAAAAATAGAAGTGTGGTCACAAGGCGTGGATGTAGCGCGGTGGGTTAGGCCGGCTATAGAGCATACTCAGGGTACCGTTGGTTTTCTTTTCTTAGTCATGCTGTTATTTTATGATTTGTGGTGTTTAGTAAGCTGCGTTGGTTCGTTTGGTTTAGTATATAATTCCTTTCCAACCGGGTTAAAGGAAAGTTTGAAACTTGTTATCGTGTGTTAGAGTTGTTGAGTGTGAAAACTTGAAACTGAAAATCATTATTTAAACAATTCTTCGTGGGCGAGCTGTGCGAGTTTGGATAGAATTCCTGTGCGAGTGAATGAAAATATCAAAATGTTAGTACTGATTTTTCATTTTATCAATTTATTACATGAAATTTCAATTTTATTGCTAGTTTTGGGGGGAAATTTAAAGTTATAAATTTTCATCATAATTAAATTTACTGCTTTATGGGGGAATAATTTATAGATTAATTTACTACATTTGGTATGAATTTTATCAGATAACGTGTGTAAAATGTTAATGAAGTTTAGAAGAATTTTAAAAAGTTTATTTTTTATTTTTCTTTTCTGTTTTTTGCAGATGATCGTGGTATGAAGACTAAAAATCTAAAAGAAACATGAGTAAACAATGGTTAGTATCAATTTAAATTTATTAGTTAAGAATATTTTTAAATTATACTTACCTGTTAATCGTCTGGGAAAAAGCCGTGGGGAAAGATGTCGCGTGTTATGTCTGAATTTGTTAGTAATTTTGCTAGTATGCGAATGATGTTTTTAGTTTGGAGCAGTGGCCAAAGCAATTGAAGTGCTTTAATGGTTTTTAGTTCTTCGGTGCCTACTGCAAACTCATAAGGTGTGTTTTGAATGAGGTTATATATTTTGTGATTATATTTAGTATTGTGAATAAATTCTAATTTAGGGATTTCTATAGGTTGGATAAATTCATGTGGGATAATGAAGGGTCTGGATTCCTCGGCATTAAAGGTCTTCGTGATGGGACAAAATATATACATTTGTGTTACTGGGTCATAATTGCGGAGGATGCCGTGGAGGTTAGTATCTTTGATGCAATATGTGAAATTAAGAAAAAATGGTGAAGTGTACTTCGAGTTAGGAAACTGAAAACGATGGTGTTGTTGTCTTGATCGAGTATGTAGATCAAAATGATTTTGTATGAAGCGATAGTATGTATATGTGTGAGTCTGTTTAGTGCGTAACATAATGTCGTGTGAACAGTGCAAATCGCGTTCATGTGGTGCAAGGAAGTGAAAGGTTAGTGAAAATAATTGAAGTTTTTCTTTGAAACTTTTGTAAGCTTGCATATCAGTTAGTGCTTCAGAAATGATGTGATTATATTTTCTATCAAAAATATTAAGTGTGAATACATATGACGTTTTGATGAAGAATTTTTCTGTTAGTTGTTGGTTAGCGAAGCGATCGTCATCTAGAAATTGGTCTTGATTAGTTCAGATGATATTATGGTCGTAATATTCTATTGTAAATTCGTTAGCTCGGGGTGCAGTGAATGTTTTTAGTGAGTTTTTATATCCTATATAAGTAAATTGTCTAGATGTTAGTGTTGCGGTGAGTCTATATAGCATATCTTTATTCTTTTCCATATCGTTATGAGTATTAGATAGTGGCAGGCAAAGGGGATTAGTAAAATGGTAATATGCTGTCCAATGAAGTGTAGGCATTAAAACATGTTCATCTACAAAACTACGTGTGTCGTTAGGTGTGTTTAAAGTATATTGTGGGAATGAGGGTAAGGTGATTGCTAGAAAATCTTTCGTGTTGGTGTGGTGTGGATGATTAATATATTCGCAGGCTGTTCCTGGTTTGGTCGGGAATGGATGGTTTGGGAATTTTCTTTTAAAAGTGCGATAAGCTCGGTGAGTGCTATTTGATGATTCGGTGGATGTGGATGATTGTGCTAATGATGCAGTGTAAGCTGAGGAGGGTGTAGGAGTAGGTGGGTTTGAGGATTCTATTGTGGATGAAATTTGATTTATAGTGAGGGTGTTAGGGTGTATTAGCTGTTGTTGTAGGGTGATAAAATTATCGAGTTCCTGGGAGATTTGGGGAGTATCGGGAGAATTAGATGATCGGTCGGAATGAAATGGAGAATAGGTTGGGGTTACTTGTGAAGCATAAGAGGGAGTAGAAACGGATGGGAGTGGATTATTTAGTGGGATCGGTTGAAAAGGGGGTTTTGAAAAAACTGAGGAGTTTGTTTGAAAATTATTAGATGGAGATGGTTCGGAGTCTGCAAATTCGTCAGGGGTTTCTATATTAGGGTTATTAAGTTGTGAAATGGAGTATAAAACTGAAATATCTGAATTAGTATCCGAATTCATGCTTGATGTTATATTAATAGTTGGAAAATCGGGTGGCGGGAAAGCAAAAAGTGGGATTATTGTGATTGGAGTGTTGAGGTTGGTTGGATGGGAATTTGAGCGGTGTAGGGATCCAAGTTGTCGGCTCATCGTGGGCTAAAAAATGATTACTTTGAGACTGGAAAGCGGTGGTATGGGGTTGTTCTATAATTTGTTCATATGTATTATCATCTTGTGAATGATGTGTCATTATATGTTGTATGGGACTTTGCGATATGTTTGGTCTAAAATTTGGGTTATGTGTTATTGCTAGGTTTCGGAAATTACGTGGGACTAAGGATAATGGATGGTTATGTGGTAGGGGTGGCAACTGTGGTGCTGTAGGTGTTACTTTCATGTTATTATGTTCTTCGTCGTATGTGTTCTGTGTTGTCGCTATTTTTGTATTATATTCTTTTATTTGTGCGTCTAGAAGAATTTTGTTAATTGATGATGAAAAAATTCCAAAAAATCCTGCAAATAGTATGCGTGCTACACTTGCTTGTCTATTTACTTGTGTGTGTATAGCGCATGTGTTATAGATTCCTTTTAAGAGTGAAAAAAGAAATCCTATAAAGTTAAACATTGCGGATAGTTAATTTTTCTAAGATGTAATAGGGCCATCCTAGAAAATCGAGAATTTCATTTTTTAGTGTAACAAAGCTAAAAATATTTATAGGTGAAATATCTTGTGGTCTGTATTTTTCACCGTTTAGATATATATAGTCTTTGTATAGTGTCCATTTGTGTTAATAATTCTTGGAATTGTTGTGTTCTAATGTGGTGTCGGATATCGGATTTTGAATATGTTCCAATTGATTGTAAATCAATATTTGGATTACGAGCAATAGCTCTGATGCTTTCGGGTGAAAATTTT